GGGAGACTTGATAGCAGTGTTCCAATATTTGAGGGGCTGTCACAGACAGGAGGAAGTTAACCTATTCTTCAAAGCACCTGAAGGCCAAAGAAGGAAAAATGGATGAAAACTGATCAAGGAGTATTCCAATATCTCAGGGGCTGCCATAAAGAAGAGGGAATTAAGCTATTTTCCAAAGCACCTGAAGGCAGGACAAGAAGCAACGGGTGGAAACTAATCAAGGAGAGAAGCAACCTAGAACTAAGGAGAAACTTCCTGACAGTGAGAACAATTAATCAGTGGAACAGCCTGCCTCCAGAAGCAGTAAATGCTCCAACACTGGAAGTTTTTAAGAAGAGACTGGACAGCCATTTGTCCGAAATGGTGTAGGGTTTCCTGCCCAAGCAGGGGGTTGGACTAGATGACCTCCAAGGTCCCTTCCAACTTTACTACTATTACAAATATAAGGAGAGGTTTTCTGACAATGAGAACAATCAACCAATGGAACAGTTTGCCTCCAGATGTTGTGGGAGTTTCATCACTGGAGGCTTTCAAGAAGAGACTGGACTGTCATCTGTCAGAAATGGTGTTAGGGTCTCCTGCTTGGGCAGGGGGTTGGACTAGATGACCTACAAGGTCCCTTCCAACTCTGTTATTCTATTCTGTTAGAATCGGAAGGGACCTTGGAGATTCAAATTCTCCATTTTTAATCTTCCAGTCGAACCCCCTGCTGAAGCAGGGGAGCCTATGTCATTTCAGACAAATGGTTGCCCAATCTCTTCTTAAAAACTTCCACTGTTGGAGCATCCACAACTTCTGGAGGCAGGTTGTTCCATTGGTTAATTGTTCTAACTGTCCGAAAATTCCTCCTTAGTTCCAGGTTGTTTCTCTCCTTGATTAGCTTCCATCCGTTGCTTCTTGTCCTGCCTTCTAGTGCTTTGGAAAATAGCTTGACTCCCTCTTCTTTGGGGCAGCCCCTGAGATACTGGAACATGGCTATCATGTCCCCCCTCATCCTTCTCTTCATTAAACTAGTGATGGCGAACCTTTTAGAGACCGAGTGCCCAAAAACCAGCCCCGCCTGTCCCCGTTCCACTCCCGCTCCACACCCAGCCCGCCCCCACCCGCCCGCAGGGCCACCCACTGCCTCCATTGCCCCCCCCAGATTGCCCAGGTGGCCCAGCAGCGCCATGGTGTCCATGCCCTCTGCCCACGCCCCACAGCATCATCTGCACGCCACGGAACACAAGGGCGGAGTCTTGTCCCTGCTGCCCGGGTGCCATGTTCTTGGCTACTTCACACCGGCTGTGCTGGGGGTGACTCTCCTCCAGGAGGGGGGTCTGGGGCAACAGCTGAGTGCCCACAGAGAGGGCTCTGAATGCCGTCTCTGGCATGCGTGCCATAGATTTGCCAATACTGAACTAGACACACCCAATTCCAGCAACTGTTCTTCATATGTTTTAGCCACCAGTCTCCTAAATTCATTACCCAACTAGCTAACATCATCAGGGCTAGTCCTAGCACCAGTCATTAGCACTGATGATGTTACTGTCAAGGTTCCAGACTAATGAAACGCTTCAAAGAACTTCCAGGGATTGTTTATCCTAAAAAGCCTTTATTACTGTGTAACAGAATGTCGGCACAGCATGGATGGATGCCAAGATCTGAAATCTCCACCCCAGAACAGTTATTTTGCTAGCATTTTCCCTCCCTCTTTTGCTGTCATAATTCACCTTGTCCAACCAGCCTGTGGGGGGAAGGTTCACTTTCTTCAGAAGCCCACATAATTAATCTCTACACATTCTTTCTCTTCCCCTCCCACTCTCATCTGAATTAACTCTAAAAGTACCAGACAGTTCTGCATATTTTGTCAAAGCAAGAATATTCAATATTAGCAGCGTTGACAGTTACCTAGATAGGCAGCTAAACGTCTGCAAGAAAACAACCAACTCAGGGTCCATGCCTGAGGACCCCTCAATTCTCCAGCACTGGAGATGGAGAATCCACCAATGGGTTGAGACTGTATTCCTGCCCAATCAGATCAGTCAGCCAAAGTTGCCACGCCCGTCCTGGACCACGAGATCCCCAGTCTTGACTGATCTCGCCCAGCATCCAGACGTGCAACTTTGGCTCTTAGGCAGGTACAGTTTCTCTCCATTGGGGGATTATTCCCAGTAGCTGAGAGTTGGTAGCAAGGATAAGATTCTGCTTAATTGGCCCCCTACTGAATTTCTAAATTTTAAGTCTTGAACTCTCCTTCAACTGCAAAACAAAAGTGATGGTATTTCTGAGTGTTTTTCTAAACCCTCTTTTTCCAAAAACCAGTATTTCGTTGTCCTGATTCAACATATGTAGCAGGTTTTGTGTAGAAGGAACATTCGCCTTTCCCACAGAAGTCTGATGAACTGCAGTCCCTAAATTTGATTATATTCCTTTGGGTACAGTGAAGACTGAATCTAAGGCAGTGACTTCATCGTGCCTTCTTAAGGTGGGAGTAAATCCCTCTGCAGTCAGTGCTGTGAACTCAGCTTATGTAAGAGACATAGATTACTCAGGTTTCCCGGACAATAAGCTTCATTAGATGCCTAAACACAAGAAAGAACCGGAGTAAATCACTTTTATGTGGCAACATGAACATTTCTGTTGCTAATTCCCGGTCCACACCTTCCTGCTGTGAAACTGAACGAAAACGGTTTTATTTATATTTTAATACAGCTGCATTCTCCTTTTTCACTATTTCTTCCCTCCGACAGTACCAGGCATTGGTCTGGAGATCCAATTCTGGAGAGTGTAGGGGTGGGCCACACTTTCACCCACGTTGTTCAATTTGCTCATTTGAAGGGGAAAGCTCTCCAAAGCTATGAGCCTGCTTAAATCCAAGAAGGAAAAAAAAATTAAACAAGCCCCCTGGCTTATTAATAATAGCAGGGCTCGGATGAGTCCCTTGGAATGGAGGGTAAAAAAAAAAATTATCCACAAAAAAACAAGACAAAACTGTATTCTAGGAGCAAAGAGGATTTTTTTTTTCTCTTGCAGAGGTGGATATAGTTTTGGAATTTTTTTTAATTTTTTTTTTTTTTTTGCTCCTTTCAGAGACAAATATAGCAGAAACTGAAGGGGGGGGGGTGCTTATCAGTTGATTTTCGGAAGCCCCATGCCTCTTGATTTGAATTGTGGTTTTATTTTATTTTTTAATGAACAGGTCCCATGGCCTGCAAAACTTTGAATCCCATTGATCTAAAAGGAAAAAAAGGCTTCAAATTAGATGGATGATTTCTGGAGGAAACTGTGTTCATTTCTTAAATTTGTGGGTTCCCTCCCCTCCTGTCAGGAGATTTCCCCCCCCCTTCTCCACGTGCCAAGAGAAGAGTTTTTTCACTACTTTCTCCAGGATAAGATTGAACAATCTGAAATAAATGACCTCCCTCTTCTCCCTTGCCTTTGAATATGTGCTAGCCCTGGTTAAAGGATGACAGGCAGGGGACCTCTTTAGCCTAAAGTAGGGGTGGGCAACCTTGGCTCTTTTATGACACGTGGACTTCAACTCCCAGAATTCCTGAGCCAGCATGGCTCAGCTTGGAAACCTCTCCCTTTCCCCTCAGCATGGCTGGCTCAGGAATTCTGGGAGTTGAAGTCCACGAGTCATAAAAGAGCCGAGGATGACTACCCCTATCCTAGGACAAAGATTAAGAGCAGGGGTCTTCAAACTTGGCCTTTTTATGACTCGTGGACTTCAACTCCCAGAATTCCTGAGCCAGCCATACTGAAGGGAAAGGGAGAGGTTTCCAGGCTGAGCCATGCTGTCTCAGGAATTCTGGGAGTTGAAGTCCACCAGTCATAAAAGAGCCAAGGTTGCCTACCCTTATCCTAGGACGAAGATTAAGAGCAGGGGTCTTCAACCTTGGCTCTTTTATGACACGTGGACTTCAACTCCCAGAATTCCTGAGCCAGCATGGTTCAGCTTGGAAACCTCTCCTTTTCCCCTCAGCGTGGCTGGCTCAGGAATTCTGGGAGTTGAAGTCCACAAGTCATAAAAGAGCCAAGGTTGCCTACCTCTGGCCTAAAAGGAATGTATTTCTCCTGAAAAGGAAAAGAAGAATCTGAAGGCTACATCCTCAGATGCTTCCTCAAAGGGGGATGTTGCCCCCCCCCCAAAAAAATCCCACTAGATGGCCTCACTTAAATCAGATTTCTTTTCTGTTTCTGCCCAATTGTTTGTAGCAATACAAGAGATACTTCAGCATAAAGGCAGACCTGTCAATCTCTTATCCAGGGATGGGCAACTAGGACAACTTTACGATATGCAGATTTCAACACCCAGAATTCTGGGAGTTGAGGTCCCCAGGTCATAAAGTTGTCCTAGTTGCCTGCCTCTGCTCTTATCATAGGTTGTGGCAACTTTGTGAAAAGCCTCCGCAGATTTGTACTGCACCCCTACACGCACCTGTTAAGTTCTCATTCCTCCAGACAACCCAGCCCCCCTTCCTTTTGCTGTGAAAGAGTAAGGGGGTTTGAAGGATAATTTGTACACCCAACGCATTTTATTCTTGGCACCTTGACATCCTGGCACTCCCAACATGTTGTGTTTCCATTTTATTTTAGGACTCTGCTTTTCCCTCCCTTGACCTGGCTTGTTAACCCATCCCACCCACCCCCTTTTTGAAATGGCTAGCAAGGGGTTGTTGGTCAGAATCTCTGTGTTTGGTTCATTCCTTCCCTTGCCCATATTTTTTCCCTGCTCCTCAATAAAAAATGCACATTTTTCCTGCTGTTCTGTCTTGAGATTGGGGCCATAACGGGGAATGTTATCTTTTGAGTTCCAAAGGACCAAATTTCAAGCCCTCGTTTTGTTTTTCTCTTTTCCATTCTGTCCCACCTTTTCTAACCGTTCTTCCATTGCAGTTGTTTCTCTTTGTCATTCGACTAGTGACACATCTCTCATTTTATTCCTAACTAACGGCTTCCGTCGAAGAATTCCACTCTCCCACTCTCCACATGTCTTCTCTTTAAACCCCCTCCAGGTATGCTGAACCATCCACCAATCCCCATTTCGGATCTGGCAGATCACACGGAGCACCTGAAAGCCAACGATAACCTGAAGCTGTCTCAGGAATACGAGGTAGGAGTGGAAACCGTCAGGCCCAGCCGAAGGAGGTGGGAAGCAGTTTCCAGGGGTGGGTTGGGGAGGGGGCTGAAACCCCACGATGAAAAAACTTTCTTTTCTGCTCAGTCACAAGAGCTAATCAGTGATCTGTTCCATTTGCTAAGAATTGCAGACCGCAGGTGCCCTGAAAATCATTTGGACTGTGCACAAACTCGAAACTGCTTCTTGCATTGATTAAAGCAACTTGGCATGCTTTAGCACAGGGGTCTTCAAACTTGGCCCTTTTATGACTTGTGGACTTCAACTCCCAGAATTCCTCAGCCAGGCATGCTGGCTGAGGAATTCTGGGAGTTGAAGTCCACAAGTCACAAAAGGGCCAAGTTTGAAGACCTCTGCTTTAGCACCACAAGGATGGCTGGCTCAGGAATTCTGGGAGTTGAAGTCCACGAGTCATAAAAGAGCCAAGGTTGCCTACCCCTGCTCTAAAACAAGTTTTGTTTGTCCCTGAGGATGCCACAGCATTGTTCTATCCCAGAGTCGGTACAGACATGATATTCCTTAGAACAAAATCTTCAAGATGATCAAAACCTTGCAGATTTTGACACAAACGCCCACAACCACACAAATAGCCTTGTGTGCAGAACTTGGCTGAAAAAACTCAATCGAGTCAACCTCAGCTTCCAACATCTATGGAGTTTCTCAGTCATCCAGATAGTGGGGAAGAGTCGTTGAGGCCATTTGGAGGACACAGAAAAACTCCAAGTCAGTGGTTCTCAACCTGTGGGTCGGGACCCCATTTGGGGTCGAATGACCATTTCACGGGGGTCGCCAAACCATGCTGTCCGCCATTTTTTTCCCTTTTCCCTAGCTGTCCTACTCCCTCTTATTGGTGGCCACACCCACTTAGGGGTCACCACAACATGGAGAACTGTATTATGGGGTCATGGCATTAGAAAGGTTGAGAACCACTGCTCCAAGTGGCCTCAACGACTCTCTAAAAGGATGCAAATGACCAGCTGTCTGCAAGGAGTATAAATACTTCCATTCCCCACCATCTGGTCAGAGCTGAAAAAGCTTCTGGGAGGAGAAGCGAAACGTCTTCAAAGGAAAAACAAGAAAGTCCCGTTGCCTCCTGGAAAAAAAAGCACCTTTGAGACTCAGCTTCCAATGACTTTGTGCACATGTCCCTGTGGTGTATCTTTGCTAAATTGCTAACACTGCAGTTGCAACCGCAAGAATCTATTCTTATAGCAAGGTCTTGGCACCTAGACAGCAGGGCCGAGATGACGTAATCGATTCATTTAAGAGGTAACCCGCTGCTCTCCGAAGGTCCTCAGCCCGCCTCATTAATTTCATAAAAATGAGAATAACAAACACTGTTGTTAGGGAGGGGAGTTTCTCACTGTTAGCCACTGGAAGTGTGTGTTTAGATTTGCAAGTGTGTTCTGCTAAAGGCGTAGTTGCATTCCCGTCCATTGAGCTGCTGTTCTGAACTTTCTGAACTCGATTTGCGTTATGAATCATTGCTAATTTTTGTTTTAAAAGAAAAAATAAGCAACTCTAAAGAGGTTGAGCCCCCACTACATGCTTAATATGCTCCCTGGATTAACCCGGTTTTCGGAGTCTGTTATGAATACAGTGTATTCAATAATCTTAAACCATTTTGGATACCAAAAAAAAAAAAAGCCCAAGCCATAATTAAGTCTAATCATGTGTTGAAGGAAAAGTCTTCATCATGGTTCAGTCCAAGCCGGGAATAAATAACATGGCGACTGCTTTAGAAAGGTTGCAGTTTATTGAAGAAGAGAGCCAGACAGGAAGATGGCTCTGGAAGAAAAAAAGAGGAGAGTGAGCATACGTAGGGAGTGGGTTGTTATACCTTCTTGAGCCTTTTGTTTGGAATTGTTCCTGTGGCATGAACTTTGACCTGAGTCTGAGTGTGCCTTTCTGGTATTCTGATGGTGGTGGGTTAATCCTATTATGTCCCAAGGGTCATATCCTGCTTCCCTCAGGCTGTGGCTGATGACTCTTAGATTTTTGGTGTTGATTCTAGGGATCTTTGTTCCTAATCCCAGTTTCCTGATTCCGGTCTTTCTGACAAGATTATCACATCTGCATTTCTACAGACTTGGCTTCTGTTTGGGACAGAGAGACCTGTGGGTAGGGTTGGTTTCTGCTTTTAAAATCCTTTAGCGAAATATATTCTGCCTTTTAAACATTTCCAAGAATATTTCTTTCTCGGGGGGAGGCTGACTTCCCACATATGTTTAATTTGTGGCAAGCACCTGCTGACCGTGATTTCACCTGCCGATTCGGGTTGCGAAGAAGGTCGGGATGTGGTACTAGTGACGTTACAGCAAAATGCCTAAAAAGAAATAAGAAATACCAAGATCCCAAAATTAAAGTAGGAGATGAGAATAACAAAAGGAAATATGGTCGCCCTCGATTTACAACGGTAATGGAGTCTGCCCAACACGGTCATAAGTTGCGACAGTCGTAAAACTGCAGACCTTTTTTTTTGTGCCATGTCCATTAAGCAAACATCATGGTTGTTAAGCAGTGGTTTGCCATGGGTGTGGTTTTATCCAAAACAAAATTAATTACCAGTTTTTTGAAAGACAATTTTTAGTCTAGTCATTAAAAGGCTAGAAACCAGAAGACCAAGACTTCCAGTCCCATCATGGCAAAGAGAGCCAGCTGGATGACCTTGAGCCAATCATTCTCTCTCAGCCCAGCCCACCTCACAGGATTGTTCTTGTGGAGAAAATAGGTGGAGGAAGGAATATTAGGTATGTTCGCTGTTTTGAGTTAATAAAAGCATATTTTATTATTTGTAGAAGTAAAGATAGATAGATAGATAGATAGATAGATAGATAGATAGATAGACAGACAGACAGACAGACAGACACACACACACATGACAGACAGACAGAAAGAGATAACTGTAGTGATGGATAGATGGATGGATGATAGATACTGGAGAGAGAGAGAGAGAGAGAGAGAGAGAGAGAGTGAGAGAGAGATGTAAGTAGATAGATAGATAGACAGATGATAGATAGATAGAAAGATGAGAGAGAGAGAGATATGATAGACAGACTGTCAGGGTTCCGACTAATGAAGCACTTTAAAGAACTTTCAGGCATGTTTCCTAAAGTCTTTACTACAGAGCTACAAATTGCCGGTCACCATCATGGACGTTTTGATGCCAGAATCTGACTTCCTCTCGCTGGCATCAATCTTTTCTTGCTAAATCCCTCCCTTATCTTGCGGTCACAAGTCACATTATCCAATTAGTGTGAAGGTCAAAAGTTTACTTCCTCTTTCTTTCCGGGGGCTTTTTACCCCCCCCCCCACTCTAAGCTATGTATTAACCCAGTAAATACCAGACAGTTTTGCATATTGTCAAAGCAAGAATATACAATATTTGCAGCATTGACACACACAGAGAGAGAGAAAGAGATAACTGTAGTGATAGATGGATGGATAGATGAATGGATGATAGTTACTGTAGAGATAGATAGATAACTGTAGGGATGGATGGATGATATACACTGTTTAGATCAGTGGTTCTCAACCTGTGGGTCGGGACCCCATTTGGGGTCGAATGACCATTTCACAGGGGTCACCAAACAAGGCTGTCCGCCATTTTTTTCCCTTTTCCCTAGCTGTCCTACTCCCTCTTATTGGTGGCCACACCCACTTGGGGGTCACCACAACATGGGGAACTGTATTATGGGGTCACGGCATTAGAAAGGTTGAGAATCACTGGTTTAGACAGACAGACAGGCAGACAGGCAGACAGACAAAGAAAGAAAGAAAAGAAAGAAAGAAAGAAAGAAAGAAAGAAAGAAAGAAAGAAAGAAAGAAAGAAAGAAAGAAAAAGAAAGAAAGAAAGAATTCTAGGAGTTGAAGACCACTCATCTTCAAATGGCCATAACTGGGAAACATTGGTACAAACTATAGATCAGCAGGAACTTTTCTGAAAGTTGACCCATTCTTGCTTCTTTGAAGGAGTTAAGCATCCTTATTTTAAGAAAGAAAAAGCAACTCTGTCTTGGGGAATGACTGGAGGAAGGACGGAGCCAAAAAGGTCTGGAGAAATGGAGAAATAAAGTTAAACATGGCCTAATAATAGAAAGGGCGATGAGGCAGGGGGGAGAGAGAGAGAGATCAAAAACCCTGCCCCTGGGTCTCTCGGCAGAGAAGGCAGCCCGCCAGTGGATGAATCCCAGCACAACTCAAGAGATAACTCCCCAAATCTGTTTCCAGCGAGCGCCAAGCAGTTTATACAGTGTATGAATTGCTAATTGCCCAAGTTAGATGATGGGAAAAGATTCTCATCTCTGCAGGGGCCTCTTCTAACGCATCTCAGCATTCGGGCACGGCAGGCAGGCTGGCTGGCTGGCAAGGAGAAAGCTAATGTATTCTCTCTGCCAGGGCTTACTGCCATTTCCCCCTGGTGCCTAATCTGCATAATGTAATATCCAAAAGTGCTTTTTGGCTTCTTTCCAGGACAGCCACCTCCCACCTAAGCTGCAGATTGAGATTGTTTAAGAAAAAGAGAGAGAAAGAAAGAGAAAAGAGAGGGAGGGAGGGAGGAGAATGAAAAAGGAAAAGGAGGGATGGGAGGGAAGGAGGGAGGAAAAGAAGGAAGGGAAGGAGGGAGGGAGGAAAAGGAAGAGGGAGGGAGGAAGGAGAAAGAATGAGAAAGGAGGGAGGAAAAGAAGGAAAGAAGGGAGGGAGGAAGGAAGGAAGGAGAATGAGAATGGAAAAGGAGGGAGAGGAGGGAGGAAAAGAAGGAAGGGAAGGAGGGAGGGAGGAAAAGGAAGAGGGAGGGAGGAAGGAGAAAGAATGAGAAAGGAGGGAGGAAAAGAAGGAAAGAAGGGAGGGAAGAAGGAAGGAAGGAGAATGAGAATGGAAAAGGAGGGAGGAAAAGAAGGAAGGAAGGGAGGAGAAAGGAAAAGGAGGGAGAGAAGGGAAGGAGGGAGGGAGGAAGGAGAAAGAATGGGAAAGGAGGGAAGGAAAGAAGAATGAAAAAGGGAGAGGAGGGAAGGAGGAAGGGAGGAAGGAAGGAAGGAAGGAGAATGAGAATGGAAAAGAAGGGAGAGGAGGGAAGGAGGGAGGAAAAGAAGGGAGGGAGGGAGGAGGAAAAGAGAGGGAGGAAGGAGAATGAGAATGGAAGAGGAGGGAGAGGAGGGAGGAAAAGGAAGGAGAGGAGGGAGGAAAAGAAGGAAGGAAAAGGAAGGAGAGGAGGGAAGGAGGGAGGAAAAGAAGGAAGGGAGGAGGAAAAGGGAGGGAGGGAGAAAGAATGGAAAAGGAGGGAGAGGAGAGAGGAAAAGAAGGAAGGAAGGAGAAAGGAAAAGAAGGGAGAGGAGGGAAAGGGAGGAAAAGAAGGAAGGGAAGGAAGGAGGGAGGAGGAAAAGGAAGGGAGGGAGAGAGGAAGGAGAATGAGAATGGAAAAGGAGGGAGGAAAAGGAGGGAGAGGGGGAAGGAGGAAGGAAAAGGAGGAAAAGGAAAAAGAAAAGGAGGGAGAGGAGGAAAGGGAGGGAGGAAGGAGAATGAGAATGGAAGAGGGAGGAAAGGAAGGAAGGGAGAAAGGAAAAGGAGGGAGGAAAGGAAGGAAGGAAGAAAAAGGAAAAGGAGGAAGAGGAGGGAAGGGGGGAAGAAAAGAAGGAAGAAAAGGAAGGGAGAAACTGAATGAAATTAACAAGGTGTAGAGAACTCAGGGCGAGCAACAATCCATTTTCAAAGACTTTGCCTAAGGGGCTTCTTTTAGCACCCCACAAGGCTTCGTGCTGCAGCTTCTCAAGATGCTCCTGGGTGTAGCTGCCTTTCTAGTCCTAAGGAGGGAAGGACGTCTGCCTTGTGCCATTCTTCAGACTGAGCCCTGCCTGCTGCTGGCAGAAAGCCTTGGACGGTTTCCAGAATCTAATTGGGGAGCTGTGGATTGGCAGGGTCCCTTTACAGCATCCCTGTGACTCCTGTCCTCTTCCCCCCCCCTCTTGTTTACCCACCAAACGGCCTCTTTCTGATCAAAAGGGGAAATTTTCCACTTGGCTGCTGTCCATGTTTAATTCAGCCCCTTTGGGGGGGGAGGTTAGGGAACGGCAAGCTCAGACAAAGCAAAGTTGCAGTCTTGGTGCACGCTTGGGGGGGGGGGAGATAATATTTGTATGTCTAGCTTTGTGTGTTTTAAGATGATGCAATGATGCAAGCCTGGAATTTCAGGCTGGGGGTTCCCCCCCCCCTTTCTTCTTCTCCTTCTTCTTCTCCTTCTTCTTCTTCTTCTTCTTCTTCTTCTTCTTATTCTTCTTCTTCTTCTTCTTCTTCTTCTTCTTCTTCTTCTTCTTCTTCTTCTTCTTCTTCTTCTTCTTCTTCTTCTTCTTCTTCTTCCTTTAATAGCTTCTAGCTCTCCTGAGGTGGAAACAAAGCTTCAAAGCATTGTGGATCACGCTTATGCAAAGGGAATAAAGTGACTTTTAAAAAAATCATTCCTCTGTTGGTTTAATTGCCTTTTCCCAGCTCTGGTCAGGCCTCTATAGTTTTGCTTCTTTTTTTTCTTTCTTTTTCTTTTTTGTCTTTTTCTCAATGCAGAATTTTGATGATTTGCTTGAAGCCCAGAACTGGCTGGCACAGCCCTACTTTGAATTCCAGAGTTGAAAGATTGTCCAATTTCATCTCCTGCGATTTCAGGAAATTCTCAATTATCCTGATCACGTCTCCATTCAGCTTTTGCTAAAATAAATCCCTTTTTAAAAAACAAAAAACCAAAAAAACACACTTTCTTCTGAGCCACATTGCTTCCTTAATTTCTGTATTGTGTTTCCGATTGGGGTGGTCTGGTGACCCCAGAGGGCTCAATTGTTTCCACCAGGATCTTTTCACTGAAAACATATTTTCTCTTGACTAAGAAAACCTCCAAGCTCAGAGAGGACAAAGGACTGCATAAGAAGCAACCTAGAACTAAGGAGAAATTTCCTGACAGTGAGAACAATTAACCAGTGGAACAACCTGCCTCCAGAAGCTGTGAATGCTCCAACACTGGAAGTTTTTAAGAAGAGACTGGACAGCCATTTGTCTGAAATGGTATAGGGTTTCCTGCCTGAGCAGGGGGTTGGACTAGATGACCTCCAATGTCCCTTCCATTTTTATTATTATTATTATTAATAATAATAATAATAATAATATACACTGTCAGGAAGTTTCTCCTTAATTCCAGGTTGCTTCTCTCCTTGATCAGCTTCCAACCATTGTTTCTCGTTCTTCCCTCTGGTGCTTTGGTGAACTACCTGGCCCCCTCTTCTTTGTGGCAGCCCCCCAGATAACTGGAAGACTGCTATCATGTCTCCCCTATTTCTTCTTTCCTTTAGACTAGGCAAACCCATGTCCTGCAGCCGTTCTTCGTATGTTTTAGCCTCCAAGCCTTGGATCATCTTAGTTGCTCTTCTCTGAACTTTTTCCAAACTCTCAACATCTTTTTTGTGATATGGTGACCAAAATTAGCTGCAGTAATCCAGGTGTGGTCTTACTAGGGTTTTATAAAGCGGTACTAATACTCCACGTGATCTTGATTCTATGCCTCTTGTTTATGCAACCCAGGATTGTATTAGCTTAGGGCAGTGTTTCTCAACCTTGACAATTTTAAGGCATGTGGACTTCAACTCCCAGCAATTGCTGGCTGTGGAATTCTGGGAGTTGAAGTCCACATGCCTTAAAATTGTCAAGGTTGAGAAACACTGGCTTACGAGCTAGTAATAGCAGGGAAAACAAGGCGAGATCTGGAGAAAAACCTGGGCAAGCAGTATATTAAAAGCACTATTCATTACTCCTCCCCCCCCCCAGGGTCCATTTGAATCCCAGCCAATCCACAGGTGGCATAGTGTTTTGGTAACTGGCTCTGTTGGAACGCTCTTCTTTCCTTTCTCCCTGGCTCCAGGCTCAAACTGTCTCCTAGATAAGGGTGATGCATTCCTTCTCCTGGGAGGGAAGGACATAGTAGCAAGACAGTGCAAAGCATCCCCCCTCCCAACAGAATGGCAGGCCCCCAAAAATGGTTATGAAAGCACGGATACTATAAAAGGGAAAAACAATACCTTTCTTTGGGAACTTGACAGCCCCCCCAGACTGGAGATTTGGGACAATTTCTAGCATTTTTAGAAGGCACCGGATTGAAAAAACAAGCCCTTCACTCACGGGTAGGCAACCTTGACTCGTGGACTTCAACTCCCAGAATTCCTGAGCCAGCCACGCTGAGGGGAAATGGAGAGGTTTCCAAGCTGAGCCATGCCGGCTCAGGAATTCTGGGTGTTGAAGTCCACGAGTCATAGAAGAGCCAAGGTTGCCTATCCCTGACCTAGTAGGTAGGTAGGTAGGTAGGTAGGTAGGTAGGTAGGTAGGTAGGTAGGTAGGTAGGTAGGCAGACAGACAGACAGACAAACAGACAAACAGACCTAGATCAGGGGTAAACAACCTTGGCTCGTTTATGACTCGTGGACTTCAACTCCCAGAATTCCTGAGCCAGCCACGCTGAGGGGAAATGGAGAGGTTTCCAAATTGAGCCATGCTGGCTCAGGAATTCTGGGAGTTGAAGTCCACGAGTCATAAAAGAGCCGAGGTTGCCTACCCGTGACCCAGCCCATTGTCTGCAATGGCTCAGGTTGGAAACCTCTCCCTTTCCCCTCAGTGTGGCTGGCTCAGGAATTCTGGGAGTTGAAGTCCACGAGTCATAAAAGAGCCGAGGTTGCCTAGTTGCCTTAGCTTAACCATGAGTTTGAAGCGGGAACGGAATGTCTGTCAACTCTGCAAACGAAATTAGCTATTTTCTCTTCCTTTTCAGTTGCCACAGAACTGGGAGGGGGATGAGTGTTTTATCTTAGACTTAGACATAACAATAAGTTGTTCATGGGAACCAAGGTCATTGCTAACTGCATTTTGGCAGGCTGTAGTCTCCCTAGTTAATTGGGGAATGTGATTTATGGCTCACTGTTGGGAAGTTTAACTTTGTAACCTTTGGGGGGGTTGTTTCAGTTTTGGGTTCGTGCCGTTATTAGGTAGCCCAATAAAAATGTTCTTTAAGGAAATCCTCATCTCTCGGAACCATGACAATGTCATTGTGTCTTAATAAACCTTCTTTCTTCCTTTCTCTCCTAGTCCATCGATCCTGGGCAACAGTTCACGTGGGAACACTCCAACCTCGAGGTGAATAAGCCCAAAAACCGCTACGCCAACGTCATCGCCTACGATCATTCTCGCGTCATCCTCCTCCCGATCGAAGGTACCGAGAAAATTGGGGAGGGAGGAGAAATGGGTTGTGGGTTGACTTCCTCAAAAGTGGAGAGTCCCATTATAGTTTGGTTTTGTTTTTTTTTTGTGGTCAAGAATTTGCTGTACAAAGCTTAGATGAGTTCAAGTGGTCTTCTTGGTCTTCTCATCCGCCATGTTTAATCTACAATAATCCTTAGCGTAGGATAGCGTTGAGAGGGAGGGGATGGGAAGAGCTTGAGGCTTGGACTGTTGTGAGTTTGTATTCTTTACCACTGTATCATCCTGGTTCTGGGGGTTCATACTTTCCTCCACTAAAATTTCATCCTAGGAATAACAAGGTTGCAGCTGACTGACTCTTGACTTGGCTGCAGGTCAACGTTCCACTTCCCCATTATATACCAATCCTTTTACGGCTTGCTGACCTCTTAGCTTCTTAACAGAACATCAGAGTTGGAAGGGACCTAGGACAGTGGCCACGAACCTATGGCACGGGTGCCAGAGGCGGCACTCAGAGCCCTCTCTGTGGGCACGCGCGCCATTGCCCCAGTCCTAGGCCTTCAGCTGGGTTTTATAAAACCTTTTCGCTTTAGGCCTCCACCGCCATGTGCAAAAAAAAAAAAAAAAAAAGTTCAATCAGTCAATTTCAACTTCTCGCGGGAAAAAAAAAGATCTTGCAAAGTTGGAATTGATTGATTGAACTTTTTAGTCCCACCCAGTCTGCCTTTACCACCGCAGCCACGCCCACCCAATGGGCCACACCGAGCCAATGGGCCACACCCACCTGGCACCCGACAATGCATAAGTGGGTTTTGGGTTGCAGTTTGGGCACTCGGTCTCTAAAAGGTTTGCCATCGCTGCACTAGGAGGTCATCTAGTCCAACCTCCTGCTCAAGCAGGAGACCATATACCAGCCAGGACAAATGGCTGTCCAATCTCTTTTGAAAAACCTCCAGTGATGGAGCACCCAGAACTTCTGGTGGCAAGCCGTTCCACTGATTATATTATTCTCACTGTTTAGGAAATTCCTCCTCAGTTCTAGGTTGTTTCTCTCCTTGATGAGTTTCCATCCGTTGCTTCTTGTCCTGCCTTCAGCTGCGTTGGAGAGTAAGTTGACCCCCTCCTCTTTGTGGCAGCCTCTTAAATATTGAGCTATCTTACTAACTATCGGCGGGGCTGGACTAGATGACCTCCAAGGTCCCTTCAGACAAATGGTTGTCCACTCTCTTCTTGAAAAACCCTCCAGAGATGGAACAACAATTAACAACTTCTGGTTAATTGTTCTCAGAAAATTTCTCCATAGTTCTAGCTTGGCTCTCTTCTTGATTACTTTCTTCCACAACTCAATGCTCATCCATCCTTCCTATTTTGAACCATTACAGTAGGGGTCTTTTGAGGCCAACGTTGAACCAAAATTAGGGAGCAAAGTTTTGAATCCTTGAATAGATTCAAGACCGAGTGCTTTCACTTTAGGGAGTCAGCGTGGTTCTGCAATGATAAATCTCTTGGACAGACGCAGGATAATCAGAAATGTATTTCGGTATCCTTCCATAATGTCTTTGGCCTTGACTACACAGGCTGAGAATTCTAGAAATTGAAGTCCTACAGGTTGGGAAAGGCTGGGAATAGCTTTGTTCTTGGTGATTGTTTTGTGGTCCTTCAAGTCCTTCTTAACTCCATGTGGAGTTAAGGTCCATGTGGTTTCCTTGGCAACATTTTTAGAAGTGGCTTGCTACAAATAGCTTCTTCCAGCAATGAGCGGGAGGGTGTGTTTAAGGTTACACAGCTTCCAAATTCTCCACTACTGGCTGGAGAACCCAAGTCTTTCCTATTTACTACCTTGAGGACCATAACTGGCAATCTGGAATCACCCAACCCCGTTCCTGCTCCTAAATAGCCTCAGCAACAGGGGTCTTCAAACTTGGCCACTTTAAGACGTGTGGACTCCAACTCCCAGAATTCCTCAGCCAGCCCTGGGCTGGCTGAGGAATTCTGGGAGTTGGAGTCCACACATCTTAAAGTGGCCAGGTTTGAAGACCCCTGCTCAACAACAACCTGATGGAGTCTTCCTCTTCAATAGATTCTCCTTAATGCCGAAGCATTCCCCTTTATGGATTCTTCTGTGCCTCTTGACCGTTGTCTTTTCCTCTTGGTTAAGCGGTAACCACTTAGGAGGGACTTCTTTTTTTCAGACTGCAGCAGGAGCTGTTGGAAGGACTGTAAATGCTTTAATGGCAGTTCTCCCACTCTGAAAAGAAATAACAAATTAATCAGTTTGACTTAAAGGTACCATTGGGGATTCGCTGGAGGATGAATGAGTTTGAAGTTTTTCCAAAACCCAATGGCTTTCCCTGATTAAACTTCTTAGTGAGAATGAGGGCAAGAGGAGGAGGAAGAAGAAGAAGAAGAAGAAGAAGAAGAAGAAGAAGAAGAAGAAGAAGAAGAAGAAGAAGAAGAAGAAGAAGAAGAAGAAGAAGAGGAGGAGGAGGAGGAGGAGGATGAGGAGGAGGAGGAGGAGGAGGAGGAGGAGGAGGAGGAGGAGGAGGAAGAAGAAGAAGAAGAGGAAGAAGAAGAAGAAGAAGAAGAAGAAGAGGAAGAGGAAGAAGAAGAGGAAGAAGAAGAAGTAGTAGTAGTAGTAGTAGTAGTAGTAGTAGTAGTAGTAGCAGCAGCAGCATCTAGTCCAACCTCCTGCTCAGGGAGGAAACCCTATACCATTCGGACAAATGGCTGTCCAGTCTCTTCTTAAAAACTTCCAGTGTTGGAGCATTCACAGCTTCTGGAGGCAGGTTGTTCCACTGGCTAATTGTTCTAACTGTCAGGAAGTTTCTCCTTAGTTCTAGGTTGCTTCTCTCCTTGATGAGTTTCCATCCATTGCTTCTTGTCCTGCCTTCAGGCGCTTTGGAGAATAGCTTGACTCCCTCTTCTTTGGGGCAGCCCCTGAGATATTGGAACACTGCTATCATGTCCCCCCTCGTCCTTCACTTCATTAAACTAGACATACCCAATTCCAGCAACCGTTCCTCATATGTTTTAGCCTCCAGTCCCCTGATCCTCTTTGTTGCTCTTCTCTGCATTCTTTCTAGAGTCTCAACATCTTTTTTACATCGTGGGGACCAAAACTGGATGCAGGATTCCAAGTGTGGCCTTCCAAGGCATTTTAAATTGGTATTAACACTTCACATGATCTTGATTCTATCCCTCTGTTGATGCAGCCCAGCACCATGTTGGCCTTTTTGGCAGCTGCAGCACAGGGCTGGCTCATAATGTCTTGCTTAGTAACAGAATTGTTGGGCTCCATTGCGGTCGTTGATTGAGGATGACCTTTAATTCTATTTTTGGCAAGTTTCAAGGCCCCGCCTTGTGATTCTTCCGGCCACAGTGCGAAAAGGGGTTATTTCTGTGAACCAATTCTCTTTTTTCCAATGTTGAGATTTCTTTTTGACCGCCCAGTCCAAACCCTAAACCAGGGGTAGGTAACCTTGGCTCTTTTATGACTGGTGGACTTCAACTCCCAGAATTCCTGAGCCAGCCACGCTGAGGAGAAAGGGAGAGGTTTCCAAGCTGAGCCAGGCTGGCTCAGGAATTCTGGGAGTTGAAGTCCACGAGTCATAAAAGAGCCAAGGTTGCCTACCCCTGCCATAGGCAGACTTTGGAGTGCATGTGGCTGGGTGCACCACACCTTGGCGAATAAGTAAGAAGGTTGTATGAGGTTAGGCTACTGCAGGGGTCTTCAAACCTGGCCTTTTTATGACTCGTGGACTTCAACTCCCAGAATTCCTGAGCCAGCATGGCTCAGCTTGGAAACCTCTCCCTTTCCCCTCAGCGTGGCTGGCTTAGGAATTCTGTGAGTTGAAGTCCACAAGTCATAAATGAGCCAAGGTTGCCTACCCCTGATCTAGATCTGTCTGTCTGTCTATCTATCTATCTATCTATCTATCTATCTATCTATCTATCTATCTATCTATCTATCTATCTATCATCTAGGTGAGGCATAGGCAACCTTGGCTCTTTTATGACTCGTGGACTTCAACTCCCGGAATTCCTGAGCCAGCCATGCTGAGGGAAAGGGAGAGATTTCCAAGCTGAGCCATGCCGGCTCAGGAATTCTGGGAGTTGAAGTTCACAAGTCATAAAAGAGCCAAAGTTGCTACCCCTGCTATAGACCAACTCTACATCTGGTGGAACTATTGGTTTGTACCTTTAGAGGAGGGATCTTCAAACGTCACCCTTTTGTGACTTGTGGACTTCAACTCCCAGAATTCCAGAGCCAGCCATGCTGAGGAGAAATGGAGAAGTTTCCAAGCTGAGCCATGCTGGCTCAGGAATTCGGGGAGTTGAAGTCCACAAGTCTTAAAAGAGCCAAGGTTGCCTACCCCTGCCCTAAACAGATCCTACCATGCCTTGCGTAGCCTTCTGCACTACACGGAGAAAAACGTGCCATTTTTCCCAGAGGCATCAGGAAAAAAAGAAAAGGATTTTTTTCCCTTTGAATTGGGCAGCAGCGCATTCAGACATTCGGCCTCCCTTCCTCCTCCTCGGAGTAAAGCAGGCTCTTTAATTTAAAGATATGTCAGGTCACTGCCGCTAAGGCTGGGTTGCTGTGTTTTTCCCTGTTAGTGGAATATAGAAATCCTTTCGGGAAGGTGCCAAGGGGGACTTAATATGTAAGGTTGCTCTCCTTGCCGCTGCAGAGGTCAAACGGATAGGTATGGAGTTCAAAGAAATTACCCCGCACGGGCGGTGTCCAGAGAAAAATGTTACTCTTGGGGCGTTTTGCTCGGCCCTGCTTTCCGCAGACTGGCAGCTCGGAGCAGCTGTCCTTTCGGATGGCGGAGCTGAACTCCATAAAGCCAATAAGCGCCATTAAACCTTCCAAGGGCGAAGGGGAAAGAGGGCCTTGGACAAAATGGATTTTTTTTAATCTGTATCCCCTGCTCCTTTCAAAGGCCGGCTAGGGTCACGAACGGCCTCTTGCAGCTTAACCTCTTTTCGATTGCTTTGCTGCTCTCCGGGCGGGCAAGGTAATTTCAGGGACTCTGGGGTGGGGTAGGGAGGGGGAGAGGGAGGGGAAAAGGGGGGGAGGGAGGGGGAGCCTGCAAACGTTTGATTGCATTCCAGGGAGGGGAGTTTGCAGAGATGGTGCCCATCCTTTGCCGATTTGCTTAGTGGTGTTGCATTAGTGACATGAAAATTGAGGGAAGGGAAGGGAAGAAAGAAATAAATGGATGAGGGAAAGGAAGGGAGTAAATGAATGAGGGAAAGGAAGGGAAGGGAAGAAATAAATGCATGAGGGAAAGAAAGGGAGTAAATGGATGAGGGAAAGGAAGGGAAGAAAAGAGAAGGGAAGGAATAAATGGATGAGGGAAAGAAAGGGAGTAAATGGATGAGGGAAAGGAAGGGAAGGGAAGGGAAGGGAAGAAATAAATGGATGAGGGAAAGAAAGGGAGTAAATGGATGAGGGAAAGGAAGGGAAGAAAAGAGAAGGGAAGGAATAAATGGATGAGGGAAAGAAAGGGAATAAATGGATGAGGGAAAGGAAAGGAAGAAAAGAGAAGGGAAAGGAAAGGAAAAAGAAAAACAGAGCTGAAAGGGACCTTGGAGGTCTTCTAGTCCAACCCCCTGCTCAGGCAGGAAGCTCTACACCATTTCGGACAAATGGCTGTCCAGTCTCTTCTTAAAAACTTCCAGTGTTGGAGCATTCACCGCTTCTGGAGGCAGGTAGTTCCATTGGTTAATTGTTCTCATTGTTTAGGAAGTTTCTCCTTAGTTCTAGGTTGCTTCTCTTCTTGATGAGTTTCCACCCGTTGCTTCTTGTCCTGCCTTTGGGGGCTTTGGAGAATAGCTTGACTCCCTCTTCTTTGGGGCAGCCCCTGAGATATTGGAAGAAAGGAAAGGAAAGGAAAAAGGGAAAGAAAGGAAAGAAGGAAGGGAAGGAAAGGAAAAGAGGAAGGAAATGAAAGAGAGGAAAGGAAAGGAGGAAGGAAAGGATAGGAAAGGAAAAAGGAAGGAAAGGAAAGGAAAATTTCCTTTCCCCAACAAAAGACTCATGCAGACAATTATACAATACTTCTTTGGTTGACAACTGAAGGTGTGTCTGGAGCTCACAGAGTTTTTAAAACTTGGCAATATTTGCTTCAAGACTGTCTCCCTGTCTCTCTGCAGCTGCTGGTATGGAGAGGGTGGGGTTAATTGTGCAGCTCTCCAAAAGTCTGGGAATCGACCAAAGACATTGATTCCAACACGGCTCTCCTTTTTTTTTTTTTTTTTTTTTTTGGGCTGCTCCCCATGCAGGCATCCTAGGCAGCGACTACATTAACTCCAACTACATCGATGGGTACCGCAAGCAGAACGCCTACATTGCCACGCAGGGCCCTTTGCCGGAGACCTTCGGTGACTTCTGGCGGATGGTTTGGGAGCAGCGCTCCGCCACGGTGGTGATGATGACAAAGCTGGAGGAGAAATCCAGGGTGAGAAGAAAAAAATGCAGTCCATTCGACGGTGCTCCTGCCTCACTTATTGTGGAAAGTTAAGAACGGAGCGCCAAAGGTGGGGTCCTTGGTGCTCTCTGAGCTTGGTGGTTTCCTTGCAGATGTTTCATTACCCAACTAGGTAACCTCATCAGTGCTAGAATGAAGGGGGCTTTGTGGAGAGGGGGAGGGAGGGAGGGAGGGAGGAAGGAAGGAAGGAAGGGGAGTCTTTGTGCTCTCTGAGCTTGGTGGTTTCCTTGTAGACGTTTCATTACCCAACTAGGTAACATCATCAGTGCCAGAAGGGAGAAGGCTTTGTGGAGAGGGAGGGAGGGAGGGAGGGAGGGAGGGAGGAAGGAAGGAAGGAAGGAAGGAAGGAAGGAAGGAAGGAAGGAAGGAAGGAAGGAAGGAAGGAAGGAAGGAAGGAAGTGGAGTCTTGAAGCTCTCTGAGCTTGGTGGTTTCCTTGCAGACATTTCATTACCCAACTAGGTAACATCATCAGTGCCAGAAGGGAGAAGGCTTTGTGGAGAGGAGAAGAAGGGAGGGAGGGAGGGAGGGAGGGAGGAAGGAAGGAAGGTAGGAAGGGGAGTCTTGGTGCTCTCTGAGCTTGGTGGTTTCCTTGCAGACATTTCATTACCCAACTAGGTAACCTCATCAGTGCTAGAAGGGAGAAGGCTTTGTGGAGAGGGAGGGAGGGAGGGAGGGAGGGAGGAAGGAAGGAAGGAAGGAAGGAAGGAAGGAAGGAAGGAAGGAAGGAAGGAAGGAAGGAAGGGGGGTCTTGGTGCTTGCTGAGCTTGATGGTTTCCTTGCAGACATTTCATTACCCAACTAGGTAACCTCATCAGTGCTAGAAGGGAGGGGGCTTTGTGGAGAGGGAGGGAGGGAGGGAGGAAAGAAGGAAGGAAGGGGGGTCTTGGTGCTTGCTGAGCTTGGTGGTTTCCTTGTAGACATTTCATTACCCAACTAGGTAACATCATCAGTGCTAGAATGGGATGGGATTTGGGGGAGGAGGAATATGGGGTCTTTGTTGCTCTCTGAGCTGGGTCCTTTTCTTGCAGACATTTCATTACCCAACTAGATGCCCAAAGAAAGTGGGGTTTGAAGAGAGGAGGAAGAAGAGGGCAAGTTAAATCCAAAAATGCTACAGAATTCCTGGAAGCTTGGCCTTCAGACAAACTAGTGTTCAATAGAGACATATGGATAAACCACATTTACACACCATTCAAAGAGAATGATAAAAAAAGCTAAGAAGGAAATAAAAAGAGCAGGCCTCCCCAGCGTCCTACGCCCAGATAAGCAGAGATTGACACCAGACAAACAATAAGATAGAAATCCCCAAATCAAGGAACTAACCAAGGAGAAAACCTCAGCCCCGCCCGCATTGGCACCGTATATAAACAGGCATCAAACTCTTCACTCTCTCAAGCTGATGATGTTACCTAGTTGGGTAGAGAAACGTTTTCCAGAAAACAATCAGAGAGCACCAAAGACCTCACAGTTCAACCTTGAGCCACAAAGATTTTTCTCTATAGATAGCCAAATATTCCCTTCCAGTTTGGGGGAAAGCCGTTCAATACAACCAATGGCCTGTATTTTTTTTTATGTGTGTCCTATGTGTAATGCATGTAATAGGGCAGAGCTTTTGATCCTGCGGTTGTATTAACCATCTTTACTTTTTTAAAAAAAATTCTGCCATCTTCCCGCCCCCCAACATGGGGGCTGGGTTGCTGTCACCTTCCTTACTCCTTCTGTAAATGAAAAGCTTTTTCTGGTTTGAGGTTGAATTGATTGCTTGATAGCGCCTCATCTAGAGCAGGGATAGGCAACCTTGGACCTTTTATGACTCGTGGACTTCAACTCCCAGAATTCCTGAGCCAGCCACGCTGAGGGGAAAGGGAGAGGTTTCCAAGCTGAGCCATGCCAGCTCAGGAATTCTGGGAGTTGAAGTTCACCAGTCATAAAAGGGCCACGGTTGCCTACCCCTGGGCTAGACAGTCACTTGTCTGAGATGATAAGGGTCAGAGCTAGTCAACCTTGGCCCCTTCATGACTTGAGGACTTCAACTCCCAGAATTCCTGAGCCAGCATGGCTCAGCTTCGAAACCTCTCCCTTTCCCCTCAGCATTGCTGGCTGTGGAATTCTGGGAGTTGAAGTCCACATGCCTTAAAATTGTCAAGGTTGAGAAACACTGGTCTAGAGTATGTGTCAGTCATGATACTGATACGTTTTATATTTATGTTTTAAAAATATGTTTATATTTACTGCACTGTAATACATTTATTACATTGTCACCTTGCAGAGGCGAGACATACAGCGTTGAGAACTGTTAGTCATTAGGGCTGCCTCGAAGCTTAGTAAAATAATTAAAGTAAATAAGTTGATCCAATGAATGAGGGAAATTATGTTTTTTTCATGCGAGTGCTTAAAAAACTGCATCCCAACTTCTTTTCTTTTTCTCTCCCCTGTTGCCAAATTTTAACGGTTTGGTCTGTCCGTACGGATCCTTGTGATTTAATGACATTTTATAAATGAGGCAAATTGATCCGATCGTATTTCCAGTGGGACGGTACAGTTGTGTCATTAAAGATCGGAGGAGAATGGATGTCAGAATCAAAATTCAGTTCCCTGGCAATGAGATATAGAAACCACAAGGCCACTTGCACACTGCAATCTCAGGAATAATAATAATAATAATAATAATAATAATAATAATAATAATAATAATAATAATACTTCAGAATTCAAACAGACAAGCACCTGCAACATAACACCCCAGACTTAACAATTGTCGATAAGAAAGACAAAAAAGTCTGGATAGTGGATGTGGCAGTGCCGGGAGATAGCAGAATAGACGAGAAAGAACTGGAGAAGATAACAAAATACAAAGACCTACAAATAGAAATAGAAAGACTGTGGCAAAAGCAAGCAAGGGTAGTACCAATAGTCATAGGCTCCTTGGGTGCAATCCCAAAACAACTGGAGCACCACTTGAACACCATTGGCATTGACAAATTCGCTATTAGTCAATTGCAAAAGGCGGCCTTATTAGGAACTGCTTCCATCCTGCGACGATACCTGTAATACCATCAAACATCCACATCTGCCTATCCCAGGTCCTGGGTAAGGACTCGATAGGTAGACAAAATGCCAAATCCAGTCTGAACATCTGGCTGACTGTGCGATGATTGATAATAATAATAATAAAAAAGTTGGAAGGGACCTTGGAGGTCATCTAACCCAACCCCCTGCTCAGGCAGGAAACCCTACACCATTTCAGACAAATGGCTGTCCAGTCTCTTCTTAAAACTTCCAATTTTGGAGCATTCACCGTTTCTGGAGGCAGGTAGTTCCACTGGTTAATTGTTCTAACTGTCAGGAAGCAAAGATGACCTGAACTCAATTTATTTCAGTGCAGGCTTCAGGATTTCACAGTGCCAGATTTTAATTCCTTGTGACCCTTGGCATTTCTGCTTAGGAAAGGCAGACCGCTCCCAATTTGTCACCTCTAGTATTGTGGGTCAAACGTGAGCAAGTTCAGCTTCTCCTTCCATTTTGTGTTGACATTTCTTCGTCTTTCTTCAGCTTCACGTTTTGTCGCATGGAGCGAATGATATCATTACATTATCATTACCTGTGTTGGTTTTGTTCAGATCAAATGTGACCAGTACTGGCCAGGCCGAGGCACCGAGACTTACGGGATGATCCAAGTGACCTTGTTAGACACCATTGAGTTGGCCACATTCTGCGTCCGCACGTTTTCTCTGCATAAGGTGAGGACAAGGCCTCTTTCTTTTGGTACGTTCAGTATGGAAAAGAGAGGATGGCTCCCTTTAAGGATCTGGAAGACAGAATTCTTTGGAGCTGGGCTAACGGAGAGACCAGGAAGCAAGTAATTTAAAATACAAAGAAGTAGACTTCAGGAGAATGTTCTGAGGAGGATAAAGGCTGCCCGCCAATGGGCAAACTATGGGTAGTTCTCGACTTTACAACCAATTCGTATTGTGACCGTTCAAAGTTGCCCATTCTCAATTGTGGACGTAAGTCGAGGATTCCCTGTAAACTGCATAAAGCATCCAGGTGATCATTCATTGAAGCATCTCCAGAAAAGGAGAAGGAAACACCACCACCCAAGGCATCTCTTCCAGGTGTTACTGTTAGGGGGGACCTTTATTTATTTATTTATTTATTTATTTCCCCACCTTTATTATTGTACATATAACTCAAGGTGGCGAACGCATCCAACACACCTTCCTCCGCCTATTTTCTCCACAACAGCCCTGTGAGGTGGGTTGGACTGAGCAAGAGAGAGAGAGAGAGATAGACTGAGCCAAAGTCACCCAGCCGGCTTTTGTAATTAAGGCAGGACTAGAACTCACCGTCTCCTGGTGATTGGTCCAAAGTCACCCAGCTGGCTTTCATGCCTAAGGCAGGACTAGAACTCACAGTCTGCCACTTTCTAGCCTGGTGCCTTCACCAGTAGACTTTCTGATCACAGAATCATAGAACAGAAAGATTGGAAGTGCCCTTAGAGTCACTTCTACTCCTTGCTCGGTACAGCATCTCTTTTCCAAAAGACAACTGGACCTTCTTGGTTTTCCTTTTGAAAACATTTCTCATCTCAAAACCCTTCCGTTCCCCACCTGTCAGAGAAGTGAAACATCTTCAAAGGGAAACAAACGAAGAAGAAAATCCAGTTGCCTTTTGGAAGGAAAAAATAAAGCACCTTTGGAACGATCAGATCGGTCGTGCGACCGGCCCGTTTATGACTGGCATAACTAATGACCATGATGGAGAAGCTCCATTATGGTTGTAAGTTTGAGGACTGCCTGTATGCGATAGGAACACAACCAATTCAGCCTGTGCTTTCCTGGGCTTGTAAGATGTTGCTCAAGGCATCTTCCCTTCTGCTCTGCCTCCACAGAACGGATCCAGCGAGAAGCGTGAAGTCCGCCAGTTCCAGTTCACCGCCTGGCCGGATCACGGAGTTCCTGAATATCCCACGCCGTTCCTGGCTTTTCTGAGGAGAGTGAAAACCTGCAACCCGCCCGATGCCGGCCCCATCGTGGTGCACTGCAGGTACCCCAACATCAACTCTTTTGGGGCTCTAGTAGGTGTGGCAACAATCCTTTTGGGTGTGGCAAAAGTCAAGGATTTGTTTTCATTTATTCAATTAATTTGCCACCCATTTTGTTTCAAAGGGGTCTAGGACAAGGTTTGTCTTGGAAAAGAGGAAAGAAACCAACTTGGGGATGATGGCTCTTTTTGATTCACCTTTAGAATAGAATAGAATAGAATAGAATAGAATAGAATAGAATAGAATAGAATAGAATAGAATAGAATAGAATAGAATAGAATAGAATCTTTATTGAGAATGGAATGGAATAGAATAGAATAGAATAGAATAGAATAGAATAGAATAGAATAGAATAGAATAGAATAGAATCTTTATTGAGAATGGAATGGAATAGCATAGAATAGAATAGAATAGAATAGAATAGAATAGAATAGAATAGAATAGAATATGGAATAGAATAGAAAAGAAAAGAAAAAAAAAAGAAAAATGGAAAAATCTTCAACTGTCACTGTTAGGAAGAATAGCCACAGTGAAAATGAATATTTTACCGAAAATACTCTTCTTATTCTAAATGATTCCTGTAAAATTGGGAAAAGTCTTTTTTGATGGATTTGGTGTTTTTAATCCACCTTTTCATGTCCTTCCCAAGCACCTGGGATAGGCAGATGTTGTTTAATAATATTAAAGCTATCTGAGATGGCATAGGATCAGTGATGGCAAACCTTTTAGAGACCAAGTGCCCAAAAATTGTCCCACCCTCTCTGCCCGCCCCCACTCTGTGCCTTCCCCGCCCATCCGCAGGACCACCCACCCACCTACATGGCCCCACCGCAGCAGGTCACCCAGGTGGCCCTGGAGCGCCATGGCGGCCACGCCTTCTGCCCGTGCCCCGCAGCATCATTTGCGCATGAGGGCGCAGTTTTGTCCCATCTGCCTGGCTGCCATGTCCTTGGCTGCACTGTTCTGCGCAGGCCGAACCCGGGGGTGATTCTCCACTGGGAGGGCTGCTGGTGAGGAAGGGGGCCGCTGGGGGAGTCAGGGCTGGAGTGATGGCACACGTGCCCACAGAGAGGGCTCTGAATGCCGCCTCTGACATGTGTGCCATAGGTTCACCACCACTGGTATAGGTTCTCTTGCTTGAGCAGGGGGCTGGACTTGAAGACCTCCAAGGTCCCTTCCAACTCTATATTCTATTCCAGTGGTTCTCAACTTGTGGGTCGGGACCCCATTTGGGGTCGAACGACCATTTCACGGGGGTCGCCAAACAACGCAGTCCGCCATTTTTTTCCCCTTTTCCTTAGCTGTGCTACTCCCTTTTATTCTATTGGCTTTTGAAAGCCAATGGAATAGACTCTCTTGAATAGAGTCTAATTCTATTGGCTTTCAAAAGCCAATAGGAATTGTCCGGGCTGTCTCTGCCCTGCTGAGCCCGCCAAAAGTCCCATTCTGCAAATGGTACTGCACCAGTTGAGTAGTCCTCGACTTACGACCGGTTCAGTAGTCCTCGACTTACGACTGGTTTTGGGTTGCGGCATTAAAAAGGTTGAGAACCACTGTTCTATTCTATTGTATTCTATTGTATTCCATTCTATATTCTATTCTATCCTTTTCTATTTCTATTCTATCCTTTTCTATTTCTATTCTGTTCTGTTCTCTTGTATTCTCTTTATTCTATCCTTTTCTAATTCTCTTCTATTCTATCCTTTTCTATTTCTGTTCTGTTCTGTAGGAATTGTCACAAGATGTAAGCCATTTTGAGTAAAGCTGCCTTTTACAATTGCTCAACGGGGATTTTGTCAATGCCGATGGTGTTCAAGGGGTACTCCAAATATTTTGGGATTGCACCCAAGGCGCCTATCACTATCGGCCCTACCTTTGTTTTTTTTTTTTGTTTTTTTTGCTACAGTCATTCTATTTCTATTTTCAGATCTTTTGTATTTTGTGATCTTCTCCAGTTCTTTCTCTTCTATACTGCTGTTATTATTATTAGACGTATAGCAATAGATTATAGCAGTCAGTACTAACATCATCTATCTCATGGTCCTCCTTTCCTTTATAATCCCCCCACCCCAGTTGAAGGCTATCACAATATCTCCCCGTTGCAACTTCCATACATTTCTTACACATTGTGTAGTTTTGTCACAGAGCTGACCAGGTTACAGGGTGTGATGAGGGCTTCCTTCTCCATTGTGCCAGTCTGTCTACCTGTAATAAGATCAAAACTTCCATGGTGATGAAGGCAGTACACAGAGCAATCTTTTATTCCGGGGCAGAAGCTGAATTTCTCTGCTCAAAAATGGGTTCCAAGTATGCAGTTGAATTTAATTCTGATTTGCATGACGAACAATAGACTTTACAGCACGTGGATGAAAGCCAGCGCTAGGATCCATTTATCAAACCTCGGCAATCAAACGGGATCCGGAGATGTTCATTTATAATTAAGGAGGACATTCTTAGAGCAGTGAGATTTGGATGAAATTGTCTGTGTGAATATTAACCTTTTCTAAATGTAGTCATTCAGGACTGTTATCCGAGCTTCTTAATAGCTTTCTTTCTGCATCTGACATCTGGGCTATGAGGATCAATCTGTTGTGCTTCTCCCGGGAAAGCGAGGCTGAAACCTATTAAATGAGCACAGAAGAATCCAGGACCTTCTGAGAAGGAATTTATCACAGAAAAGCTATAATCAAAAGAACCCCTGGAATTGCTGTGTAGCAAACGAGAGTCCTATTTATATCAAAGCTCATTTTTTTTCTCTTACCTGAATTGTGGAACAGGCTGGAGACCCTTCCTCTTGTTTTGGACATAAACAGATCTAAACGACGTCAGAACGAACTCTCGCTGAATTGCTATTTAGACCAGAAGGGGGGAAAAAAGGAATTACAAGGGATGATGGAATTAGAATTAGATGGTGGAGGGATTTTTTTTTATTTGAAAAGAAAAGAAATGGCTTCTCAAATATGGAGAAATGTGTGACTCTCCCAACGAACAAAGTACAGATAGTCCTCAATTTAATAATAATAATAATAATAATAATAATAATAAGAAGAAGAAGAAGAAGAAGAAGAAGAAGAAGAAGAAGAAGAAGAAGAAGAAGAAGAAGAAGAAGAAGAAGAAGAAGAAGAGAGGAGGAGGAGGAGGAGGAGGAGGAGGAGAGAAGAAGAAGAAGAAGAAGAAGAAGAAGAAGAAGAAGAAGAAGAAGAAGAAGAAGAAGAAGAAGAAGAAGGAAGAAGAAGGAAGAAGAAGGGAAAAGGAGAAGAAGAAGGAAGAAGAAGAAGAAGAAGAAGAAGAAGAAGAAGAAGAAGAAGAAGAAGAAGAAGAAGAAGAAGAAGAAGAAGAAGAAGAAGAAGAAAGAAGAAGAAGAAGAAGAAGAAGAAGAAGAAGAAGAAGAAGAAGAAGAAGAAGAAGAAGAAGAAGAAGAAGAAGAAGAAGAAGAAGAAGAAGAAGAAGAAGAAGAAGAAGAAGAAGAAGAAGTGGTAGTGGTAGTGGTAGTGGTAGTGCTGCCTTGGGTGCAATCCCATAGTGCTGCCTTGGGTGCAATCCCAAAACAACTGGAGCACCACTTGAACACCATTGGCATTGACAAATTTGCTATTAGTCAATTGCAAAAGGCGGCCTTACTAGGAACTGCTTCCATCCTGCGACGATATTTGTAATACCATCAAGCATCCACATCTGCCTATCCCAGGTCCTGGGTAAGGACTCGATAGGTAGACAAAATGCCAAATCCAGTCTGAACATCTGGCTGACTGTGCGATGATCAATAATAATAATAATAAAGTTAGAAGGGACTTTGGAGGTCATCTAGTCCAATCCCCTGCTCAGGCAGGAAAGTCTATACTATTTCGGACAAATGGATGTCCAGTCTCCTCTTCAAAACTTCCAGTGTTGGAGCATTCACCGCTTCTGGAGACAGGTTGTTACACTGGTTAATTGTTCTCAGTGTCAGGAAATTTCTCCTTAGTTCCAGGTTGCTTCTCTCTTTGATTAGTTTTCCATCCGTTGCTTCTTGTCCTGCCTTCAGGCGCTTTGGAGAATAGCTTGACTCCCTCTTCTCTGGGGCAGCCCCTGAGATACTGGAACACTGCTATCATGTCCTCCCTCGTCCTTCTCTTCATTAAACGAGACATGCCCAATTCCAGCAACCGTTCCTTACGGGGAGCAGGAACTTCCCCCATTACACAGCCTCCCCCATCTGCGCCTTATCCTGTTCAGGAAGCTTTTTTTCATACAGGTGAAATGCACCAGAAAGCCCCCCATGGCGCTGAGCAGTCAGTTCGCCTTCCTTGTCTTGCACTCACTCCCCGGCACGCACGTACACCCATCTCAGTGACATGTCATCCAATTCCTTATGAAACATGAGCCCCGGAGCATGTGGGCTTGTTTGATTTCGCCCAACGTGCACTCCGCTGATGGATGTAATGTAGGTCAAACAGTTCGCCCGGTGCCCCCAGGTCATTTCGAGTTTTCAGACAGCAGGAGGTCACTAGATTCAGCCATTGAACTGTCAAGCACAAGTCAACTTTCAAAAAATGATTTTTCTCTTAAGCACCACATATAAACATCCCTGGTAATGGGGCCAGAGTGAGACTGAAAAGGCCTGATTTGTCATAGAATAGAATAGAATAGAATAGAATAGAATAGAATAGAATAGAATAGAATAGAATAGAGCAAAGCAGAACAGAACAGAGCAGAATAGAGCAGAATAGATATTGAAACAGAATGGAGCAGAATAGAATCGAATGGATATTGAAATAGAATACAATAGAATAGATATTAGAAGAGAAGAGAAGAGAGCAGAACAGAACAGAGCAGAATAGATATTGAAATAGAATAGAATAGAAATTGAAATAGAATAGAGCAGAATAGAATAGAATGGATATTGAAATAGAATACAATAGAATAGAATCCCTGAGCCAGCATAGCTCAGCATGGAAACCTCTCCCTTTCCCCTCAGCGTGGCTGGCTCAGGAATTCTGGGAGTTCACGGGTCATAAAAGAGCCAAGGTTGCCTATCCCTGCTTTAGACGAAGGATTTCTTTAATCCCTATTTTTCCTCTACCCCAACCCCTATTTTTACCCTTCCAGTGCTGGGGTGGGCAGGACCGGCTGCTTTATCGTCATCGATGCCATGCTGGAGAGAATAAAACACGAGAAGACGGTGGACATTTATGGGCACGTCACCCTCATGAGGTCCCAGCGAAACTACATGGTACAGACAGAAGACCAATACAGCTTCATACACGACTCTTTGCTAGAAGCTGTTGCCTGTGGGAACACGGAGGTCCCCGCCCGGAACCTGTACACCTACATCCAGAGGTTGGCACAGATAGAAGTGGGAGAACACGTCACAGGCATGGAGCTGGAATTCAAGGTGAGCAGAGGTACTCGGGTGTGTGTGGCTTGGGCACTTTGTACCGTTGCCCCTTCCCTGGAAGGCTGCCCAGTTAGCTTGCACAAAGTTGCAATCTGTACACCTAGTTTTTGACTTACAGCCGTTTGTTCAGTGACCATTTTGAAGTTACAACAGCACAGGAAAAAATAACTTAGACCATTTTTCATACTTATGACCATTGTAGCAGGCCCATGGTTACAGGATCAAATGGAATGGAATGGAATGGAATGGAATGGAATAGAATAGAATAGAATAGAATAGAATAGAATAGAATAGAATAGAATAGAATAGAATAGAATAGAATAGAACAGAACAGAATATAGAACAGAATAGAATAGAACAGAACAGCATAGAATAGAAATATAGGATAGAATAGAATAGAATAGAATAGAATAGAATAGAATAGAATAGAATAGAATAGAATAGAATAGAATTATAGGATAGAATAGAATAGAAATATAGAATAGAACAGGACAGAATAGAATAGAATAGAAATATAGGATAGAATAGAACAGAACTAAACAATAGAATAGAATAGAAATATAGAATAGAATAGAATATAGAACAGAACAGAATAGAATAGAAATATAGAATAGAATAGAATATAGAACAGAATAGAATAGAAATATAGGATAGAATAGAAATATAGGATAGAATAGTATAGAATAGAATAGAATAGAAATATAGGATAGAATAGAATAGAATATAGAACAGAACAGAATAGAATAGAAGCTGGAAGGGACCTTGGAGGTCTTCTAGTCGAGCCCCTTGCTCAAGTACTGGAGAGGTAGTAAGATATCCAGATGGGAGTGTGAGTTGCAGAATTTTCCACTGGGGCGGGCTGGCATAGACAACATACAGTTAACGCAGCGTTTCTCCACCTGGCTGACTTCCAGACACGTAAATTTGAACTCCAAAAATATTCAGCAATAGCCGTGCTGGCTGGCGAATTCTAGAAGTAGAAATACACAGGTTTGAGAGTGACCATCAATGCCCAGAATCCAGCTGGCCAATTTTGATCATGATCTAGGTAACAGTATCCCACATGTAAAGCTCCTTTAGAGCCATGTTCAGCTTGAAGAATTCTAAGCAGAGGCCATGTTGAATTCTGGGAAGTCTACGTGTCTGTAAGGGAAAATGTCAACTCCCAGAATTCTCAGCAATTGCCCATGCTGGCTGGGGACTTCTGGGAGTTGAAGTCCATACGTCAAGCGAGTGAGCGTTAATTCCTGCACCCTTCAACCATGGCCACGCTAGCTAGGGAATTCTAGGGGAAGAAGCCCACTTAGGTGAGCTGCTGCCCTCTCACCCACCTGTGCTCCTTTTCTTCTGCTAGAGACTCGCCAACTCCAAAGCTCACACCTCCAGGTTCATCAGTGCCAACCTGCCCTGTAACAAATTCAAAAACCGCCTTGTCAACATCATGCCATACGAGACCACACGGGTTTGCCTTCAGCCTATCCGCGGAGTCGAGGGCTCCGACTACATCAACGCCAGCTTCATTGATGGATACAGGTAAAGACCCCAGGAGGAGATGGGGTGGACACTTGTTTCTTTGTCTCTTCCTGTTCCCTAGTCCGTCTGCCAATCATCCTTGGTCCTCAATATATATATTGGTCCTCAATATATGTTTTCTGAGGTTTTCGCGGGTGTTTGTGTGTAGGTCTTTGGTTATTCAGGTTTTCTCCCGCATAAAATTGGAAGTGTCTTGGTGACGTTTCGACGAAGTCCCATTCGTCATCTTCAGGCTGGTGTTTTCGGCTTCGTGCTTCTAGGAGCAATGTGTGATCGTAGCTGTTTCTTCCTTTTAACACCAGCCTGAAGATGACGAATGGGACTTCGTCAAAACGTCGCCAAGATACTTCCAATTTTACGCGGGAGAAAACCCGAATAACCAAAGACCTACATACATATGTGTGTGTGTGTGTGTGTGTGTGTGTGTGTGTGTGTGTGGTGTGTGTGTGTGTGCCTGCGCGCGCACTATGATATTATACCAGGGGTCTTCAAACTTGGCTCTTTTATGACTTGTGGACTTCAACTCCCAGAATTCCTCAGCCAGGCACGTGTGCCTGGCTAAGGAATTCTGGGAGTTGAAGTCCACAATTCATAAAAGAACCAAGTTTGAAGGCCCCTGGCCTACAATTTAGAACAGTATTTCTCAATCTTGGGCCCTTTGAGATGAGTGGACTTCAACTCCCAGAATTCCCCAGCCAGCATAGGGAGTTGAAGTCCACCCATCTTAAAGTGGCCAAAGTTGAAAAACATTGCCCTGCTTCAGGGGTCTTCAAACCTGGCCCTTTTATGACTTGTGGACTTCAACTCCCAGAATTCCTCATCCAGGCATGCTGGCTGAGGAATTCTGGGAGTTGAAGTCCACAAGTCATGAAGGAGCCATAGTTCCCCCATGCTGGCTCAGGAATAATGGGAGTTGAAGTCCACAAGTCATAGAAGGGCCAAGTTTGAAGACCCCTGTATTGTACATTAGAGATGTGCATGTATGTGACTTCTGTAGAACTTTTCTACAGAATGCACTGGCCCAGTTCTCTTTTACCTTGCTTTTCTCTCTGAATGTTAAGCCTGAATAGGCAAGAAGGTTGTCTAGAAATTTCAAGTGGTTCCCAAGAGTTTCTGGCTCCTATTCTGTTAAGGAGTTGCCCCTAGAATAAGTCTTCATCTCTTATGAGCAGCAAGCCCCATGGTCTCTGAACTGCAGAAATCTAGGTGACCACGAGTGGCAGCAGAGAGAAACCAACAAGAAAAAAGAAAGAAAGAAAGAAAAATGGCTCTTTGCCTCCATCTAGTGCTCACCTGGATCTCTGCAGCCCAACATTACATGTCCTAAATTAGGGCTGCTAAAAACGATGTCTTTGAACTTGGAAAACAAATAGTTCCTTACCAACACAAGAGAATAGTTGAAGCTCCAAGGTTGAACTGTAGGGTCCTTGGTGCTCTCTAAGCTTGGATGGCTGAGGGGTTTTTTTTTGCAGATGTTTCATTACTCGATTAGGTAACATCATCAGTGCTGGAAAGGAGGAGGAGGAGGAGGAGGAGGAGGACGACGACGACTAAGGGATCCATGATGCTCTCTGAGCTTGGTGGTTTTCTTGCAGATGTTTCATGACCCACGTAGGTCACACCAGCAGTGCACTGATGATGTCACCTAGTTGGGTCCTGAAACGTCGGCAAGAAAACCACCAACACTCAGAAAGCGTCAAGAACCCCACAAACAGGTCCTAATTTCTGCATACTGAATTTCTCCTGACATTTGATGGAGGTGGTCTTTCAAGCGAGATCCTGCCAGGCTGAAGTTTGAGTTTCTGGCATCAATTCTTCAACCTGGCAGGGGTGAGATGTGTTACTAGGAGCCATCCCTTGCTGCTTTGTTCTTTGTGGCTGGTGGGCTCAAGATGAAGAACCCACCTCTGCTGTCCAACTTGATAGGGGTCTTAGCCTTGTTCTGGACCTGGATGAATAGCTATATGACTTTAGGACCTGTGGACTTCAACTCCCAGAATCCCTGAGCCAGAATGGCTGGCTCAGGAATTCTGGGAGTTGAAGTCCACAGGTCCTAAAGTCGCCATGGTTGCCCACTCCTGTTCTGGACCTTCATTTGCATTTAAAGGCCACCTTGCCTCCTTAGCTTGCTTTCCAAGCAGAGATGGTTTCCTTGCTTCTTCCTGCAGGCAGCAGAAGGCCTACATCGCCACCCAGGGACCCTTGGCTGAGACCACAGAGGACTTCTGGCGCATGCTTTGGGAGAACAACTCAACCATTGTGGTGATGTTGACCAAGCTGCGAGAGATGGGCCGGGTAAGTGGGACGTCCTGGTTTGTTGGGGCTTCACCCCAAATCCCAAAATGATGGGGGAACACCCCTTGAAGGGCAGGCTTTGATTTCTCAGGCAACGGATAGTAATGTATCTAGAGAGGTCAAGTCTCTTATCTTGATGTGTCTAAAAAAAGGTTGTGGCCATCCTCTTGATTTTTTGGGGGGACCCTTCCTTTTCTTGCCAAAATTCCTGGTTGTTTGTGGCTATTTGCATATAACCCCATGTACCGCTAGAAATGCACGTGAGAAACCCCTCAATCTACGAGAGAGAGAAAGGGATGTGATATGTAACTATGAATATATATGAGCATTGAGCAATTAATTAACATATTGTTTATGATAATTCACTCTTACTCGTTGCTTTCTTTCTTCTTTTTTAAACACGGGAACCCAGACATGCTGTTTGCTAAATATTGAGAATGTTATTTGAAAAAAAAAAACCTAACCCTAATCCTAACCCCAATCCCAACCCCACCTTATTCCTATTCCTAGAAAAACTAAAAGAAGAGCCTAACGCTGGGAAAGATTGAGGGCAATAGAAGAAGGGGATGACAGAGAATGATAGAGAGAGAGAGAGAGAGAGAGAAAGGGATCTAAAATAAAATTCAAGAGAACCCCTGGGAAGGATTCTTGTAATTAATTTCAAGGTATGATTTTGACCCTGTTTGACCCCCTCCATCTGTTTAGGACTTTCCAGAATCCATGTTCTAATAGTATTCCTGCCAACTTTGGCTCTTTTATGACTTGTGGACTTCAACTCCCAGAATTCCTGAGCCAGCCATGCTGAGGGAAAAGGGAGAGGTTTCCAAGCTGAGCTGTGCTGGCTCAGGAATTCTGGGAGTTGAAGTCCACGAGTCCTAAAAGAGCCAAGGCTGCCTATCCCTGACCTAGATGATAGATAGATAGATAGATAGATAGATAGATAGATAGATAGATAGATAGATAGATAGATAGATCTAAAATAGTCTTGAAGATATAGATATATATAAAAAAATCCCTCAATTTAAATCCCGGATCCCAATACAGCCAAACTTGGGCTATTAGTAAGACAGTAGGGGAATCAGTTGTGTGTCTTGTGCGCAGCATGTTCACCACTGTATTAAGGAATAGCTGAAAAAGCACCCACCTGGGTGTTTGCGATTAGCAATAGCACTTAGACTTATATATCACCCCATAGCACTTTACAGCTCTCTCTGGGCAATTTACAATGTCAGCATTATTTGCATATTGCCCCCAACAATATGGGTTCTCAGAAGAATGGAAAGCTGAGTCAACCTTGCTCCCGTCGGGGTGGAACTCCAGACTGTGGGCAGCTTGCAGTACTGCATTTTAACCACCGCCCCACCAGGATTCTTTGTCGCCCTCTGCCCATGTGGGTGAGGGGCTATACAGAGGAGCTAAATAAGAATAAGAATAAAACAATCCCAACTGCTAAACTTTGCCGCCAGGGAGTCATAGGATAGCAACTGGTTTTCTGAAAATTCTAATTTTATCGCTCAAATTATCTCCACAGGGAATGCACGTCCAGGCAGGATGCGGGGGCTGGCTTTGAACTAGACAGGCCACGCAAGGGAATTTTATTGCATGAAATATTTCAGTGCAGCAGGATCTGGTTTTTGTTTTGTTTTGTTTTGTTGGTCAAGTAGCAAATAAGCTTCTCCCTCTGTTTGTCCACAGGAAAAGTGCCACCAGTACTGGCCAGCCGAGAGATCTGCACGGTATCAGTACTTCGTGGTGGACCCCATGGCTGAATATAACATGCCTCAATACATCCTCCGAGAATTCAAGGTCACCGATGCCAGGGTAAGTCAAGGCCAAATTCCCATCCCTGCCAGCTTTCCAGGATCAGGTGATGCTCAAATGTTGAGGAAGGAATTGATCCAGAATACAGATCATTGGAAGCGGACCACGTTGGGCCCTAGATCAGGCTGTGGAACTGTGTTGTGTCCACCGTCGTTGTGGATCAGCTGGGCTGTGGAGCTGTAGGATGAGATAAGATAGATAATATAAGATAACCTTTATTGACATTTTTTTTACTGTGGGCACAATGGCACACATCAAAACTGAAATTTAGTTGCCCACTCTCAGAGTGAAACACATACATGACACATACCTAAAACACACTATATACAACGTATGTATAGACCCACACCCCTACATATACATAACAAATAAATGTTAAATACTGTCCAGGAGGTGAGATTCCCTGGAGAAAAAGATCTCGTGAAGATTTTTATATTGGCATCCTCCATGCGCCCCCCACAAACCAGCCTCAACTCTTTTTATTTTATTTTATTATTTTTTTAGAAAATTGTATTGGTTTTCTAGTTTTACATTTAAATACTTGAAAAGCAACGGGGCGGGTGAGTTGGTCAATAACATACAGATATCTCTAGTACAAATCTCAAACTATTACATTAAATATTTCCTCTCTTTTCCCCTTGGTATTTACTGTCTCATCTTTAAATTATACAATTCTGATTATGTCAATGAAATAAAAAATAACTTTCTTACATTTATCAATCATTTTTAGTTTATACATATCTGAGTTGTTTTAACATTCAATCTTTTTAGACAATCAATGTCCTGGTTAATTTTCCCCCAATTTTTAATTTCCCATTTATATTTAATGTTTGATATTTATAATTTCCAAGTTTTAAATAGCCCCAATTCTCCTTATCACAATTCATCACAAGATCTAATGTTCAGGATACACATCTTATCTATTTGAATTCTCACCATCTTACATCAACCAATTAGTAATACAGTATAGTAGTTTTATTTTCTGGTAATTTCCAGATATCTTATTTTTTTATTTTATTTTTATACTTAGTAAATACTAGCCATTCCTACAACAATAAACCACAGGGAATCCTTGGCTTAAAACCATTCGTTTAGTGACCGTTTGAAGTTACAGCAGCACAGGAAAAAAAGTGACTTTTGACCATTTTGCACACTTAACCCCAGGGTCACATGATCAAAATTCGAACACTTTATTTAAGAGAATATTTAAGAGAAAAAGAGACATTTGTTTGAATATGTGGATTACGAATTATAGAAATCAGTTGTTAACGATCTTTCCTTACAAATGTAAACTAAGCAAACACACTGTTAACTGACTATTATGTGATTTATGTTTTAAAAAAACCAATAAAACTTATAAATAAAAAAAATTTGAACGCTTGGCCACTGGTTCATATTTATGACGATTTGCAGTGTCCCCAGGTCACGTGATGCCGTTTTGTGATCTTCTGACAAGCAAAGTCCATGGGGGGGGGGAAGCCAGATTCACTTCACAACCAGGTTGCTCACTTAACAACTGCAGTGATCCACTAAATCAGAGGTCCTCAACGTTGGCCGCTTTACGACTTGTGGTCCACAAGTCGTAAAGCGGCCAGGGTTGAAGACCCCTGCACTAAACAACTGTGGCAAGAAAGGTGATAAAAAATGGGGCAAAACTCGCTTAACAACTGTCTTGCTTAGTGACAGAAATTCCAGGCTCAATTGTGGTTGTAATTAAGTCGATCTTAATCTAATCGGCCAACCCCAAAGTCAAAATTTCATATATATTTTTCCATCGCAGACACAAAGGCTAGAAGCAGTTTCCAAGAAGGAACTTAACTTGCCTTTAAGCCTGAAATGCTACACAGCTCAAGTAATATATCCCCTGACCTTCTGAGCAGTGAATGATGGTCAAAGCAGTTTACAAATGCTAAAAGCACCGTCTGCCTCTGTGTTGCACCAAAGGTCTAAAAATAGCTCGGGCATTATCCTCGCCGCTCCGCACATTGGAGGTTAGGGGTTCTGCTTTCATATACATCTCCCTGGGTACCTGTCCAAAGTGGAAGAGAACAGAATAACAGAGTTGGCAGGGACCTTGGAGGTCATCTAGTCCAACCCCCAGCTCAGGAAAGAAACTCTGTAACATTTCAGGCAAATGGCTGTCCAGTCTCTTCTTAAAAGCTTCCAGTGTTGGAGCATTCACCGCTTCTGGAGGCAGGTTGTTCCCCTGGTTAATTGTTCTCATTGTCAGGAAGTTTCTCCTTAGTTCTAGGTTGCTTCTCTCCTTGATTTAGTTTCCATCCGTTGCTTCTTGTCCCGCCTTCAGGCGCTTTGGAGAATAGCTTGACTCCCTCTTCTTTGGGGCAGCCCCTGAGATATTGGAAGACTGCTATCAGGTTACCTCTTTCTTTTCATTAAACTAGAACCAAGGAGAAACTTCCTGACAGTTAGAACAATTAACCAGTGGAACTTCTTGCCTCCAGAAGCTGTGAATGCTCCAACACTGGAAGTTTTTAAGAAGAGACTGGACAGCCATTTGTTTGAAATCGTATACGGTTTCCTGCCTGAGCAGGGGGTTGGACTAGATGATCTCCAAGGTCCCTTCCAACTTTATGATTATTATTATAGAAGTAAAGTGAAACACATCGTTATTCAATGAATCCAGCTTCCTCCATTGAGTTTTTCTGTCTGAAGCTGGACTGGGAAGGTCACCAGTGGCCATCCCATGACCTTGGGACGCTGCAACGGTCCTGAACACACGGTTAGCCAAGCGTCGTAAGTTTGAGGACCAGGCGTAGGTCACTTTCCCCAGTGCCCTTGTAACTTCAGACAGTCGCTAAACGAATGGCTGCAGGTTGAGGAGGACTACCTGCCTTCATTCAGGTTTGAGAACTTACTTACTTCTCTTTGTACTAGTTCCGTTTTTACATCTTCAACTCTGCCTTTCTGTTTTTTGTTTCGTTTCCCCCCAGGACGGCCAATCAAGAACCGTGCGTCAGTTCCAGTTCACCGACTGGCCGGAACAAGGTGTGCCAAAATCCGGGGAAGGCTTTATTGATTTCATCGGGCAGGTGCACAAAACGAAGGAGCAGTTTGGACAAGATGGGCCCATTTCGGTCCACTGCAGGTATTGTGTTTTTTTTTGTTGTTGTTTGTCCATCGATTTCGATGAAGACCTTGGCATCTTGTGGGTTATGGGCCATCAACGATGTGTCCGTAGGTGGCTAATAAGACCGATTCCGTGTGCTAAGCAGGTATATGTATACAGCCAAAGCACCTCTTTCTTTCCCCAAACACCGAAGATTTTCCTACCTGCTGCGGGAGACGGAAATATAGACCCCCCCCTCATATAACGAGGCTGGAACAAACCTGTGATTCAAAGCAGGGCTTTTCAACCTATTCACCCACTGTACCACTTTTAGGATATGGCAACATCCGAGTACCACCAGTCGCCTAGCAAGGTGTCAAAAACTTGATGTCAAAAAAAAAAAGAAAAATGATAAAGTACAGGTAGTTCTCGACTTACAACAGTTCGCTTAGTGACTCTTAGAAGTTGCAATGACACTGAAAAAAGTGCCCCCCAAGCCACAGCCGAGCAAGACACCTGCCTGCCCACCTGGTGGCGCTCTTCCTTCTGTCCGAGGTTTTCATTGTTGGCAGTGGGGGTGGGTGGGGGGTGTTTGGTTTTTATTCCCCCCGTCTGCTGGGTGGTTGCAGCAGGTTTTGGTCACTTCACATGAACCTGGGACACTGTGACCGTCATAAATATGAATCGGTTGCCAAGCATCTGAATGTAAATCACAAGACCCTGGAGATGCTGCAATATTCCAGCTGATCGGCGCTTCTTCTATGCTCAGCAGAAGCACCAGGATCAGCACTGAGCTCCAGCTGGAGCCTGGCGCTGATCCTGGCACTTCCGCTGAGCCCTGACAGCCCCAAAGAAGAGCCAATCAGCTGGAAAGCAGCACTGATCCTGGCACTTCCGCTGAGCCCTGACAGCCCTGCAGCTCCAGCCGTCTCTCGCTCAGGCTTGTGCGTTGCTGCCACCGGTTCAGCTCATTCCCCTCCCCCACTTCCACTTTTCTAGGATGGTCGCGTACCACCTGCCAGGTGCCAATGTACCACAGGTGGTACCTGTACCACTGATCGAAAAGCCCTGATTTAAAGCGTTGACTTGAACTTTGCATTGTTTCACAATATGGGCGTATTATTTCTAATCTGCTGAGCTCTGTGCAATGTGAAATTGCAAAGTAGATGGTTCTGTTGTATATTTAGAACATGAGTATTGTCAACCGTGGGAAAAGAGGAACTGAAAGAAGCAGATGGATAGAGGTTTCAAACGTACACGGGTGTATGTGGGAACTGCTGGTCAGCACGAAATAATAAGGAACTGATTTTGCAAGATAATGACCATCTGTGTGGATGGTTGTTAGAAGAAAGGTATAAAAATGCTAGTTTAAGTCCAGCTCAGGGCCATTGGCCTATAGCTGTCCTTTTGGAATCTGCTATACCATATGTTGATGTTGAGACTCTAGAAAGAGTACAGAGAACAGCCACAAAGATGATTAGGGGACTGGAGGCTAAATCATATGAGGAACGGCTGCTGGAATTGGGGATGTCTAGTTTAATGAAGAGAAGGATGAGGGGGGACATGATAGCAGTGTTCCAGTATCTCAGGGGCTGCCCCAAAGAAGAGGAAGTCAAGCTATTCTCCAAAGCGCCTGAAGGCAGGACGAGAAGCAACAGATGGAAACTAATCAGGGAGAGAAGCAACCTAGAACTAAGGAGAAACTTCCTGACAGTCAGAACAATTAACCAGTGGAACAACCTGCCTCCAGAAGTGTGAATGCTCCAACACTGGAAGTTTTTAAGAAGAGACTGGACAGCCATTTGTCCGAAATGGTATAGGGTTTCCTGCCTGAGCAGGGGGTTGGACTAGATGACCTCCAAGGTCCCTTCCAACTTTACTACTACTACTACTACTACTACTACTATTATTATTATTATTATTATTATATGATCCTCATTGCAATGGGTTATTAATGTAAGTGATGTTACTGGGCAGTGGCATGCCAGCAACCGGGCCACACAAACAAGCAAAGCCCCATCCACGGGATGCAGGCAGCACACAAAACCACACACTCTGCAGTCCCTGGAAAAACCTTTCTCCACGGAACCGGTCCCTGGTGCCCAAAAGGTTGAGAAAAATATCAGCCTTTTCAGGACTTTCTGGGTGTTTATACCAGTCTGGCTGAGCCCAAAATTTCCATTGCTAAGCAAGTGTTAAATGGGCTTTCCCCCCCCCCACCCCTTTGACGATCTTTCTTACCACAGTTGTTAAATGAATTGCTGCAATTGTTAAACTAGCAACACGGTTGTTAAATGAATCTGTTTCCCTTTTGACTTTGCTTATCAGAAGCTCTCAAAAGGGGATCCCGTGATCCCAGGACACTGCAACCATCATAAGTACAAGTCTGTTGCCAAGCCTCTTAATTCTGATTACATGACCGTGGGGATGGTGCAACGGTGCTTAAGTGTGAAAAACGGTCGTAAGTCACTCTTTTCCATGCCGTTGTGACTTTGAACAGCCACTAAATACATGGTTGTAAGTCAAGGACTGCGTTTGAGAATTTTAAAAAAAAACCTGCGTTGGTCGTCCGGCTAGCTTTAAATGGAGGAAAAGAAGAGAAAAACCATTCTCTGATTGATGGTTTAGATCAGGGGTCTTCAAACGTGGCCCTTTTATGATTTGTGGACTTCAACCCCCAGAATTCCTCAGCCAGGCATGCTGGCTGAGGAATTCTGGGAGTTGAAGTCCACCAGTCATGAAGGGACCATAGTTCCCCCATGTTGGCTGAGGAATTCTGGGAGTTGAAGTCCACCAGTCAGGAAGGGACCATAGTTCCCCCATGCTGGCTGAGGAATTCTGGGAGTTGAAGTCCACAAGTCATGAAGCATAATTCCCCCATGCTGGCTGAGGAATTCTGGGACTTGAAGTCCACCAGTCATAAAAGGGCCATGTTTGAAGACCCCTGCTCTAGGATATGCAGGAAAACCGATTCTGTCTTCTTCAGGCGAAAGTTGTCCAAGCCTCTTTGGAAAAGTCTCCAGAAATGGAGAACCTACAGCTTCCATAAGAGATATTAGTCCAGATCTTATTGCTGGGAAGTGTTTCCTGATATTTAAACAAAACCTAAATAGTGTACTTATCAAATCCAACAACAGCCTTGTGAGGTAGGCTGGGCCAAGAGTAACTGGCCTAAGGAGCTTTGGTGGTTGACAGGGGATTAGAACATGGCTCCTCCCACTCCTCATCCAGGTCCAGAGACCATAACCCTTAGACCAGGGGTCTTCAAACTTGGTCCTTTTATGACTTGTGGACTTCAACTCCCAGAATGCCTCAGCCAGGCACGCTGGCTGAGGAATTCTGGGAGTTGAAGTCCACAAGTCATAATATCTCTTATGGAAGCTGTAGGTTCTCCATTTCTGGAGACTTTTCCAAAGAGGCTTGGACATCAAATAAGGCTGGCTGAGGAATTCTGGGAGTTGAAGTCCACCAGTCATAAAAGGGCCAAGTTTGAAGACTCCTGGTTTAGATTAAAATTGTCCTTGGCAATCAGCAGGGGAAGAGGGTCATAAAAGTCAAGATGTCGGCTGCAAAGCAGTGTTTGGGTCACATGGTCCCAGCCCCTAACTTGCCATCCGATTCCTGCAGATGGCTCTGGATAGGTCCCATCTCCGGCAGGATTTGTCCTTTAGCCCCGGACTCAAGCTGAAAAACTGGGCCATTCCCATTGCAGAGACGCCAAACCTTCTTTGAAAAAGGAGCATCTTAACGGCCGCGAATTTTATTTTGCACCACAGGCGTCGCTGACCTCTTTACCGCTCTCCATGCCGGGCAGATCGTTAGTCCCCAAGCGTTTTAGTATTTCCCTTCCCGGAGCTAAAATTATATCGTTGGGCTGTTCTGTTCTGTTCTGCTCCTTCGCTTCCCCTCCACCCACTTCCCCTAAAACAGTGTTTCTCAACCTTGACGATTTTAAGGCATGTGGACTTCAACTCCCAGAATAATCGATAGAATAATATTTCCCATTGATAAAGTGGTTCAAGGCTGGAATTGTCTAGGACTAGGGGTCTTCAAACTTGGCCCTTTTATGACTTGTGGACTTCAACTCCCAGAATTCCTCAGCCAGCGTGCCTGAGATAAATCAAACACTATACAGAACACAAAGGAAAAAAGGCGGAAAAAATGGGAAATGCCTCCTTCATATCCACAGCAACTAGTCAGAGTGTAGATTGCCTCATGCATGAGTCAGCACTCTCCAATTCAGGGGTCTTCAAACTTGGCCGGCCTGGCTGAGGAATTCTGAGAGTTGAAGTCCACATGCCTTAAAATGGTCAAGGTTGAGAAACACTTCCCTAAAACATAAACGGTGAGCAGTTTTTAGTCCGGATTCTCTGCTCACCTACAGATGAGCCAGAAGTCCTTCCTCCATCGGTTGCATTTCTTCGCCAGGCTTGTTAATTCGTAAAGGATTTCTTTGCAGAGCAGAGAGCAACTAACTGGCTAAGTAGCCCATTCAACGGTTCGATGTTGACCTCTTGGTAAATTGCAAAGCTTTAAACTCTGTTTTCTACAGCTCTGGGGAATAGGAGATTACGGCGGGCTGTTGTTTACCAATCAAGGAGAAATGGTAGCTGAGGGTTGAACTGTGAGAGGCCTTTGGTGCTCTCTGAAATTGGTTATTTTCTTGTAGAGGTTTCATTAGCCGAATAAGTAGCATCATCAGTGCTACAAGCCCCCCCCCCTGTAGCACTGATGATGCTACTTATTCGGCTAATGATGCTACTTATTTGGTTGCACGGAGACGGAGGAGGAGGACGACGACGACGACTGTGGGGTCCTTGGTGCTCTCTGAGCTTGGTAGTTTTCTTGCAGACATTTCATTACCCAACTAGGTAACATCATCAGTGCTACAAGGGTGCGCAGGCTGCATAGAGGAGCAGGAAGAGAAGGAGGAGGAGGACTGTGGGGTCCTTGGTGCTCTCTGAGCTTGGGGGTTTTCTTGCAGACATCTCATGACCCAACTAGGTAACATCATCAGTGCTAGATGGGAGTGATCAGATCACATTGGTCTCTGTTCACCTTTCTACTCCAAACTACTCAGAAGAGCATCTCGGGAACACAGAACCCATCCAGCTTTTTCCTAAGACACCCCAAAGGGTGGGGAGCCCTCCAGCTTCCAGGAGATAAGATCCCCCCAGACGTTGCTTGCTAATCTATGATTAAAGCTTTCGTTGACTACAGGCAGATTACAGATTCTCTGCCTAGGCTTGTGGGATCCCACCTTGGCCCTGAGGGATCTGTCTCGTGGGTGGCGGACACCATCTGCTTCTCTACCTCTGCTCCTGGCTGGATAAACCCCAAGAAATCTCACAAATCCAGCCCAGAACTGGGATGGGGGCTTAAACTGACAAGCTGTTGGCTCTGTAGTTCCTACACACACGTTTGCAAGTCTTCGCCTTCTGAGTCACTCTCAATTCTTTTTTTAGGCAAGCCGCTTTTTTTTTTAGCATCCTCTGCCTCAAATGAAGACAGGCTTTTATTCAGAAAGAACTAGAGACCCTTTGCGTTATTGATTTCTTAAATTTATATCCCGACCGTCTCATTTTGAAAAGCTACTCTGGGCAGCTTAACGCTTAAAATATTATTATTATTTTTCATCATTTTAAATAACAGAATATTAGGTCTTCTGGTCCAACCCCCTGTACCATTTCAGACAGATGGTTGTCTAATCTCTTCTTAAAAACTTCCAGTGCTGAAGCACGCACAACCTCTGGAAAGAAATTGCTCCATTGATTTTGTGCTCACTGTCAGAAACGTTGTGCTCTCCTTGACTAGGTTCCACCCATTGCTTCTTGTCCTGCCTTCAGTTGCTTTGGAGAATAGCTTGACTTCCTCTTCTTTGGAGCAGCCCCTCAAATACTAGAAGACTGCTATTATGTCCCCCTTACTCCTTCTTTTCACTAGACTAAAGGTACCCAATTCCTGCAACTGTTTTTCATACATTTTAGCCTCTGGTACCCTTATCATCTTTGTTGTTCTTCTCTGCACTCTTTCCAGAGTCTCAAATATTTTTTAATATTGTGGTGACCAAAACTGGTGCAATATTTGAAGCGTGGTCTTAACCATAAAATATAATAAATTACATTTAAATAAATTTAAATATACTACTGCAGCCAATTTTGGTCACCATATGACAAAAAAGATGTTGAGACCTTGGAAAAAGTTCAGAGAAGAGCAACGAAGATGATCAAAGGCCTGGAGACCAAAACATATGAAGAACGGCTATGGGACTTGGGTCTGGCTAGTCTAAAGAAAAGAAGAAATAGGGGAGACATGATAGCAACATTCCAGTATTTGAGGGGCTGCCACAAAGAAGAGGGGGGTCAAATTATTCTCCAAAGCACCCAAAGACAGGACAAGAAGCAAAGGATGGAAACTGATCAAGGAGAGAAGCAACCTAGAATGAAGGAGAAACTTCCTGACAGTGAGAACAATTAACCAGTGGAACAGCTTGCCGCCAGAAATTGTGGGTACTCCATCACTGGATATTTTTAAGAAGAGACTAGACAGCCATTTGTCTGAAATGGTATAGGTTCTCCTGCTTAAGCAGGGGGCTGGACTAGAAGACCCCCAAGGTCCCTTCCAGCTCTATTCCATTCTATAATAAAATACAAGAATGGAATGGAATAAGGAATGGAATGAATGGATACGATAGGATAGGATAGGATAGGATAGGATAGACTCTGTTCCTTCCCTTTTTGCCTTCTGACCCAGTGGCCGGTGGGAGTTTAGTCTTTGCTTTTGCTCCAAGAAATGGATACGTGAAAGATTTGGACAGACCATGTTATTGACCTCGATACCTGCCAGAAAAGATGGTCCCAGGCTGGACTGAATTTAAGAGTCCTCCTATTAGCCCTCATTGTGTTTGGGGGCCTTGAGTTTCATTGGCAGGCTGATTAAGCCAGGGCTGGCAGGCAGAGTTGGTGGGACTGTGCTAGACTTTGCATCGGCAGCTCATGAAAACTACCATGTCCTTTCTCAGGATTGTCCTGCAGCTGGGCGAGGCAGCTGCTTTAAAAAGTGCCTTTTTTTTAAAAAAAAAAGGTCCGTCTCTTTGCTTTCCAATCCAAAGCCCTCTAATCGCCCTAATTCTCCTGTCTGGGAATGATAGAACTTATAGTCCAGCCTCTTTGGACTGAGGCAACTTACGAATGTCTTCTCCACGCCTAGCCTTGCGAAAGAAGGCAGTCGATGGGTTTCCCGCAGCCCCTACACACACACACACACACACACACACACACACACACACACTGATGCCCTTCTCTTCTTCCTTGGCAGTGCGGGAGTAGGCAGGACCGGCGTCTTCATCACGCTAAGCATCGTGCTGGAGAGGATGCGCTACGAAGGGGTGGTGGACATCTTCCAGACCGTGAAGATGCTGAGGACACAACGGCCCGCCATGGTGCAGACAGAGGTGAGGAGGAGGGCTTCCCTTGAGACCCGCCCCAAGTCTCGGAAGGGTTGTGCCAGGGGAAAGAAGGGGGATTGGCGCGTCTCCTATGACCCCTCCTCAACAGCGCTACCTCCACCCCACTCTTGCCCTGACTGCCTCCTTGCTCCAAAATTGGGGACCAGGCTAGGGATAATGTCCGCTGATGGCCATCGAGGACGATCAGTCGCCCTTTCCCTGGACGGCCCTTTTCTCCTGCGAGGTAGCAAAAGCTGGGAGGCTTCGTGTAGATTCGCACACAGGATCTTCCTCGGACAGGAGGGGAGGACGCTGGGAAACCCTCTTAGAGGTCAAACCAATATCGGACTTGTGTTTTTCAAAAGAGGAAGAGAAATCCCTAGGGGTAGTCAACCTTGGCTCTTTTATGACTCGTGGACTTCAACTCCCAGAATTCCTGAGCCAGCCATGCTGAGGGGACAGGGAGAGGTTTCCAAGCTGAGCCATGCTGGCTCATGAATTCTGAGAGTTGAAGTCCACGAGCAACGGATAGAAACTAATCAAGGAGAGAAGCAATCTAGAACTAAGGAGAAACTTCCTGGCAGTTAGAACAATTAGCCAGTGGAACAACCTGCCTCCAGAAGCAGTGAATGCTCCAGCACTGGAAGTTTTTAAGAAGAGACTGGACAGCCATTTCTCCGAAATGATGTAGGGTTTTCTGCCTGAGCAGGGGGTTGGACTCGATGACCTCCAAGGTCCCTTCCAACTTTATTATTATTATTATTACCCAAGGTTGCCTATCCCTGCCCTAGTGGGATGAGAATAATTTGTTACCTGTCTCCAGGTTGTTGCATGCTGGGTGCAGGCCCATCAGTGAATTCCTAGGAGGACAGGGGCAAAACCGGCCAATCCGGGCACATGTGTTGATCAAAGCTCCACCCCCTTTCCATCAAAATCTTGCACATTTCGACCTCAGCTTTTTGGGAAAGCCCACGAGATCCAGCTGAATGCCTTCCACTCCTCAATCCCTGGGTCTTTTAAGATCTCCAAGCTATTACTGCAAACCACCTCCTGCAGATAGATGCCAGCCCAGGCAGGGCCAGGGCTGGTGAGCCCAGAGTTCAAATCCCCACTTGGACAGGAATCTCCCTAATGTGACATGGATCCTGTGCGTTTTCTTCAGCCGGGCCCACTTCACAGGACTATTCTGTAATCCACTCAAATCAGCCAGAGATCTTCAAGGCAGCACCCACTTTACAGGTCCAATAAACAAGAACCTGCGTGGGTCTCTAACTGCTTCATTTTGGCTAGTTATGCGTTGGTAGGGCAATTTATTTATTTATCGAAACCCACCGCTGCCTGTCTCGCTTGCACACAAAACTGGGCCGTTTACAATCGGATAAACTAAATTATAAAAGTTTAAAATAGTAAAGACAATAAGACATCAGGTTAGAAACCGAGATGGCGAGTCCTAGTCCCATCTTGGACATGAAAGCCAGCTGGGTGACTTTGGGCCAATCACCAGGAGATGGTGAGTTCTAGTCCCGCCTTAGCTACAAAAGCCGGCTGGATGACTTTGGGCCAATCACCAGGAGACGGTGAGTTCTAGTCCCGCCTTAGCCACAAAAGCCGGCTGGGTGAGTTTGGGCCAATCACCAGGAGATGGTGAGTTCTAGTCCCGCCTTAGCCACAAAAGCCGGCTGGATGACTTCGGGCCAATCACCAGGAGACAGTGAGTTCTAGTCCCGCCTTAGCCATGAAAGCCAGCTGGGTGACTTTGGGCCAGTCCCTCTCCCTCAGCCCAACCCACCTCACCGGGTTGTTTTGGTGGAGAAAATAGGAGGTAGAAATTGCGTTGGATAGTTTGCTATTTGCTTGAGCAAACCAGAAAGGCAGGACGCAAAGAAATAAAATAAATAAATTTTACAAATAAATAAATAAGCAAGCAATTGAGCCATCCCTGCCCTAACCCTAACCCCTCTCCTCTCTCTTTCTTGCCCTCCCAGGACGAATACCAGTTCTGCTATCAGGCTGCCCTGGAATACCTGGGAAGCTTCGACCACTATGCAACATAATAAGGAAAAGTTTCACAAAAGCCATTCGTTGCGCAGACTCCTAACACTTTTTTCAGCCTGCCAGGCTCCTGTTTGAGCGACCCGAAGCTAGCCTCGACCTTTCTTAAAACACCTACAGACTGAATCAGAAAAACAAAACAAAAAAACAGTTGCCTCCCCTATCCACCCGTTTTGGATGCTCCGCCAGGAAGGAGGCGGGGGGGGGGGGAGCCCAGCCGCAACGCCCTCCTCTTTCTCTCGGAGGCGCCACGGCCTCTCCGAAAGGGACTCTCGGCCTCTGTTTGGAAACCCCAGAGCATCCCCAGAGTGGTTTTTTTTTCCCCTTCTTCTTCTTCTTTTCCATCTTTTTAAGTGGCAAACTTGTTATCCTTACCTCATCTGGCGATGACGGTGTGGGGAGCGCGCAGGGACCGTGGTGCAACCGAACCAAGGACCGTACTGAACTTTTTCCTATTGCGGCAGACGCCGGCCTCGTCCACACACCTTGGAGAACAGCCGTCCGGTTGGAGAAAACCGTGGTCAAGAAGCAGACATACACACAGAGAAAGAGAGAGAAACTTAAAGAGCCGATGGGGAGAATAGCAAGAGAAGAAATTGGCCCCAACAAGTAACATATTAGGGTTCGGTTGACCTACTACTCTTTGCGGGCGGACTTAAAGGAAGCCATTTTAGGCGTGCAAAATTCAGAGGCGAACAAAGCAAAATTGTGCATCCGGTCGGGGGGCGGGTGGGGTGGCAGGACTCCGTTTCCACACACACCAAGGGGTTTTTGTTTTTTTGGGTTTTTTTGGGCTGTCCTGCGGCTTCTTTCTCAGCTGAGCTTTTCCAACACTTTCAACATTCCTCTTCTTTTACCACTGCAAACCCTCTTAACGTCAAAAAGCAAACCAGAACAGGCAATAAAACGAGTCCTCCCGCGCCCCAGGCATTTCACATTTTGCAAAAAAAAAAAAAAAAACCACAGTATTTTGCCGCTCGCCCATCCGCCCACCCGCCCGCAGGCAAACTAAACTCTGAATTTTTGGGAAATCTGCCAAGGCAGTTCCAGGTTATCTTCTGCTCTCCAGATTCCAAAAAGAGTGAGGGCCACGGAGATTTGAAGTATATTTCACACGAGTTCCAATTTCTTTTTCGTTTTGTTTTGTTTTTTTTAGGAATTCCCGCCCCCCCCCTGCTTTTCTGATTCTCTTAGCCCATCCAAACTAATCTCTCTCTCTCTCTCTCTCTCTTTTTTTTTTTTTCTCGTGGTCGTTGTCGTTGCTCTCATTTATTTTTGTGGGCGTTTTAACTTCCCCTTCCTTCCCTGATGCCAAAGAGAAAAATGGCAGATGTGAAGAGGGCCTGTGGATTTGGGGGAAAGAGGAAGCCCGCGTGGGCTCCCTAAATGTCCAAGATAGGGACACGATCCAGGCAGAATAGACAAGACTTGCAAGGATTTGGGTAAGGGTTAAGCCCCCACCAGCCAGTGGCTTTCTTTTAAAAAAAGGTATCGCTGTAACTCTCTTATAAGTGACATTTATTTCTTATTTTTTTATTTCCTGGGTCTCCTTTTTTTTTTTAATAGTGTAATTTTTTTCTCCTTTTTTTAAAAAATATGTAAAAAAAATACAAAAGAATATGTCAAGGAATTTACAAAAAAAAAACCTACTTATTTGTTCATATTATGTTTAAAGACAGTCTATTTTTTCACTGTAGAAATGTTAACGTGTAATGGTTGTGTGACATAAGAGAAACGCCGTGCAAAATAATTGCTACTTTTACATATTGCTTTTCTACCATTTAAAAAAAAATGAGAGGAGGAGGAGGAGGAAGGAAGGAAGGAAAGGGCTCACTGCTCACGTTTAAACAAAAACGTCGCTGCTTTTCTTTTTCCTTTTGGCAAGAATTATTGTGAATTATTGTTCATCTCTCCTCTAAGGCATTTGGGGAGCCTGGCCAGAGGGAGTGAAATTAAGGATCCTGGAGAAGGGGGGGGGGGTGTCCTTTGCTCCTGAATTGCCCCATTTCTCAATCTCTTCCAGACCCAGTGAACACCCCAAGCCCCAAGCAATCACCCCAACCATGCAACCTTTGCATCCAGAGAAGACCCTCCCAAAATCTCCCTTGCATCCCTGGAAGGGATCCCCAGGGGGAAAAAAATCCAATTTAAAATCATCCGTGATGCCCTTTGCCAGTCCAGGAAGAGCTCAAAACGTCTACATTTCCTGCTTCTGAGGCAGTGTTTCTCAACCTTGACCATTTTAAGGCATGTGGACTTCAACTCCCAGAATTTCACAGCCAGCATTGCTGGCTGTGGAATTCTGGGAGTTGAAGCCCACATGCCTTAAAATGGTCAAGGTTGAGAAACACTGTTCTAAGGGATTTTTTTTTTTTGAGGGGGGGGGAATGTTGGTGGACGCTGGCTGGAACGTGTCCGGGTGGACAAAACGCAGCTCCAAAGTTCTGCTCAGCCTTAAAATACGGGGTGGACTCAGGCTGGTCACTCTCCTGCTTTTAGCCTAACCTACCTCGCAGGGTCGTGGGGAGGAGAGAACCGCTCGCTGGGATGAAGAAGAAGTAGGGACCCTCGGAAAATTGCCCTCTTTTCCCCTGGCAAGGTGGGCATCGGCCTTTCTGGATCAAAGCTGCCGAATCGTTGGGCAGCAAGGTGGATCTTTTTTCCGAAAGGGATGGTCCACACATACGCAGCAACACACACACACACACACACACACACATTCAAAATGTATATTTAAAATTTTGCGGCTGACAAAGAGTTAAAGGGAGACTAGTATAGCTATTTCAAGCTCTTTAGCTCTCATCAGCTAGCAGATTGCTTTACATTTGGTACACCGGGTGTTCCACCCAACATACAGATGTGTGTGTGTGTGAGAGAGAGAGAGAGAGAGAGAAGGTATGGTACCAAGCCAAACCTTCCACCCTTCCCAGGCCTGGGTTCAAGTCCTACTGTCGCTTCTGAGGGATCATTTCCGGCAAAAACTAAACATCTAGGATAGCCTGTCTCTTCTTTTTTTAAAAGGGGGAGGCAAGGAAATGGATTCTCCTGGCTTGATCAGAATGGTATTTTTTAAAAGATATATCTCTTATATATATATATAAATGTTAAATTTGGATTGCTAACAAAGAGTTAAAGGAAAGCTGGTATAGCTATTTCAAGCTCCTTAGCTCTCATCAGCCAGCTATATATTTGTGAACTCTTTCCCCTGTCCCCCCCCCTCGTTCTCTAAACTTTCTTTACAGGTTGTTTTTTTTTTTTTGGCCATTTGAAAAAGAAAAAGAAAAGCTTATTTTGGCAGGGCCGGGGAGGAAAAAGTTCGTGTGTGGGAGGGCTGTAGGAGGGGGGAGGGTTGCAGATGGGACCCGCCTCCCTGTTTTTCCTTCCCAGGGCCCCCCCTCCCCTCCTTTCTGCGAAAGCGAGGCCCTGGCGCCAGCAGCCTGCGATTCCAAATGGAAAACGGTCTGAAGTGGTTGCCACGCCACTCTGTATGTAGATATATATATTGACTTTGTATTAAAGGAAGATTGTCTGGAAAAAAAGAAAAGAAAAACAAGGTGTTGGAAAAGGTGTTTGTTTCGGGGGGGGGGTGAAAAGGACCAGGTGGGAGGGAGGGAGGGAGGGCAGGAAAGGAAAGGAAGGATCTGCCAGATTGCAACCACAGGCAAAAAAAAAAAATTGCAAACGGTCACCTCTGACCAACGATCCCTAGATTTGGGCAGAAACATTCTTGCCAAGTCTTCTTCCATTGCTAATGTGGGGATTTGCTCAGCAGTCTCAGGGATTGCCGGAGGGGCTTCCCCCCCCCCAGCCAATTTGGGATTTTGCTGGCCTCCATGATTTGTCCCATGTTCTTCGTAAGTTGAGGATCACGGCTGATCTACAAAGCCTCTGGAGCGTCTTTGAACCCCCTTCCCCACTGCCTGCGGACCCCAGCTACTGAATTAACCCATTTCTCAGGTTACATTCAACTATAAGTGTGCCCAAAGGAACTGGGTTTGTACAATTGACGTAAGTTCCAAAAGAGGTTTGACCAGGGTTATCTCTAATCATGGGCAACTGTCATGTGAAGGCCTCTGTTAGGGCAGAGGTAGGCAACCTTGGCTCTTTTATGACTGGTGGACTTCAACTCCCAGAATTCCTGAGCTTGCCAGGCTGAGGGAAAAGGGAGAGGTTTCCAAGATGGGCCATGCTGGCTCAGGAATTCTGGGAGTTGAAGTCCACGAGTCATAAAAGAGCCAAGGTTGCCTACCCTGTTCTAGGCAGATGCCCCTAACTGAGCCTGGAATTATGATTGTATGTTATGTGGGTCATTAAAGCAGGCCGCCATATCTACATAGGCATGCTTCTGTGCCTTTAGGCCAGGGTTAGGCAGCTTTGGCCCTTTTATGACTCATGGACTTCAACTCCCAGAATCCCTGAGCCAGCATTGCTGAGGAGAAAGGGAGAGGTTTCCAAGCTGAGCCATGAATCATAAAAGAGCCAAGGTTGCCTACCCTTGTGTTAGGGTTTTCATCTGATCTGGTCAAGTGTGCAACATAGCAGCAGGCCTTTGTAGACAAGAGCCATGTTTTTCGACCTCAGCAGCTTTAACGGAGTGGACTTCAACTCCCAGAATTCCCTAGCCAGCATGTATGGACTTCAATTCCCAGAATTCCCCAGCCAGCATTGTTTAAAATAGCTGGACTCTTAATTCCCAGAATTTCCCAGCCAATTACATTTAAGATAGGTGGACTTCAACTCCCAGAATTCCCCAGCAAGCATGCTAGCTGGAGGAATTCTGGGAGTTGGAGTCCACCTATCTTAAAGTGACTGAGGAAAAAAAAAAAAGGACTGCACTGCAGGGTTGTGCCACATGCTCAGATCAAGCAGTGGTGCCAATATTGAATGTAACATAATATTCTTCTCTCTGCCAGCAAACCTTGAATTACTCACTACCAAAGTGAGCTTAACTTTCCACATTGCAAAATAAGAGAAGGATCCAACCTTATTCTTAGTAAAATCTTGGCTAAGTGCTATAGCACGCCGAGATTAGAAATTAGCTTTGTGTGTCTTTTTACCCTTTTTAACTCTGCAACAAAAGTTTCTCATACACCATCTCCAAATCTGTCTCATTTTTGCCTTTTTTTAAGGCAACAGAAACTCTGGAAAAAAAACATATCTCCCAAAGGCAGAGTTATAATCTGACAGATCTCACAATTTGATTTTTATCCAAGTTCGAAACCCCCTCTGAACACAACTAGGTCAAAACCCTGAATTTAACAGGTCCTTCTGACCCAGCCAGCCTGTTTGAGCTCTGCGAACAGTTAAAATATATATTTAATCCAAAAAGGGATCAGGTTTGCAAACCCAGCTGTTCCCATCTTCTTTGGCTTTTATCTCCGCCATAACTGGAAACGCACTTCACAAAAATGTCAAGTTACCCAAACTGTATATTATTTTCAAGAAATTGGGATAGGGCCAAGGTGAGGAAGCATCGAATTCTTCACTTTATAAATTGCATTCCGGATAGTAAAATACAATATTTTGCAAAATGTATCAAAAGTAATAACCTTGTGGGTTAAAAACAAAACAAACAGAAGTTCAACATCTTTCGTGCCAAGGTAGATGCACCTGATAGTAATAATGGCTTACTATACAAGGAGTCCTCACCTTACGACCGGTCGCTTATTTCCTGGTTTTCAGCAAACCTTGTCCATCACAAACTATTGGTTTGCTTAAGAACTGCAGCATTTGCTTTACAATCATGTCTGTTTAACAACTGCTGCAGAAAAGGTTTTAAAATCAAGTCGGTCACGTGGGTGATCCAGTTTACAGCCATGAGGGACAGGCTCCATTATGGTTATAAGTTGAGGACTATGCTTCCCCTCCCCACTCCTGGACCAATTTGACATTGTTATTTATTACAGCCCTACTTGTTTGCAATCATTTCAGATTTGTGTCACTAACAGAAGCAACAAAAAAAAACCACACAACAAATTGTAGTCCGGCCTTTGGGACAGTGTTTCTCCATCGCTGCAACTTTAAGATGGATGGACTTCAACTCCCAGAATTCCCCAGTCAGCATCCTCACCCACACCAGCAGCAAAGGTGTGTAAAACAGTGCAAAGGTGCAAAGCCCCCCCTGGGGCCTGGTCATACAGTTAGTCCTTGTTTAGCGGCTGTCTTGTTTAGTGACCATTCACAGTTATGAGGGAAAGTGATGGCAAAAGGAATTTTATGAGCAGTCCTCACATCAACAACCTTCGTGGGTCCATCACACAAAGGAAAGATGGTCAGACGCTAAACACGGCTGGGGTTTCAGTTAACGACCATCTTGCTGGCTCCAATTGTGGTCGTTAAACGAGGACGAGCTGGTCTTCATTCGGTCCAAAAAATGAACTTGGTTGAAAATCGTACATACGCCTCCCCCATCTGCGCTTGTCTGCAAAATGCTGCTTCCGTCGCTTCGCCAGCCCAGTCCTACAGCATAAAAGTGGTGTTTTCCCTCTTATCCTGACTCAGGTCTCCTGTTCAGACATGCAGGAGACAGCCCCCCCCCACTCTAAACATCCCTTTCATCTCACCACTGCTTTCCACAAACCCTTCAGCGCTTCATCCTCTCACGAGGTCTCCAAATCGCCTCCTAACGTCCCTCCAGAGACAGATCCACTTAGAAATCGACAGGCTTCACGAGGAATCGAGGCTGTTCAAGTGGAATGGGTTCCCTGAGATCATCAAGACCAACCCTTTCTCTGCAGGCATCCGCGACTCCAAATTAGGGTTGGACCCCATGGCCTCAAGAGTCCACCTCTTCTGCTGTGTGTAAAGAAAACCTCTTAAGGTTTTGAAGCCATCAATCCTTTACCCTTCTTCATTTTCTCACACACGCAGACACACAAATACAAAGACATACACACGGTCTGGCTGCACATGCTCTTTTTGCCGGCTGCACATGCTCTTCTCGCCGGCTGCAGAGCAGCCCTTGGGCAGTGTGAATATAGAATGGAATAGAATAGAATAGAATAGAATAGAAAATAGAACAGAATAGAGAACAGAACAGGATAGAGTAGAATAGGAGTAGAGTAGAATAGAATAGAAGTAGAGTAGAATAGAATAGAATAGAATAGAATAGAATAGAATAGAATAGAATAGAATAGGAGTAGAGTAGAAGAGAATAGAATGGAATGGAATAGAATAGGAATAGAGTAGAATAGAATAGGAGTAGAGTAGAATAGAATATAGAATATAGAATGAAATGGAATAGAATAGAATAGGAGTAGAGTAGAATAGACTAGAGAGTAGAGTAGAACAGAACAGAATAGAATAGGAGTAGAGTAGAATAGAATGGAATGGAATAGAATAGGAATAGAGTAGAGTAGAATAGAATAGGAGTAGAGTAGAATAGAATAGAATAGAATAGAATAGAATAGAATAGAATAGGAGTAGGGTAGAATAGAATAGAATATAGAATACAGAATATAGAATATAGAATAGAATAGAATAGGAATAGAGTAAAGTAGAGTAGAATAGAATAGAATAGAATAGAATAGAATGGAATGGAACAGAACAGAATGGGGAATGCTGCAACCACGGTCGTTAAGCATGAAAAACGATCCTTGTCCTTTTTTTCCAGTGCCGTCGTCACTTCAAACGGACACTAAACAAATCGTGGTAAATCAAGGACCACACGAACCAGCACTTATATTAATCTTTCCACACTTTACCCTCCAAATCATTTTGAATGCCTTTTTCTTCTCGCTAAAACCCTCCCTGTTGTAGGGCAGGCCTCCGAGCTTACTCAACTCTCTGCCTCCCAAGTTGGCGTGAAGCCGCCCACGAGGCTTGGAGGACCACGATCAGATGGGTGTGCCAGCCTGGCTGTCCGGATGGCCTGTCCTCAGCTGATTTTCAACCAACTGGCTTGAAAAGAAAAGCTGTTAAAAAGCCTCGCTCTTCTTACAGAGAGATTTCCTCTCGCTGAGGTAAAAGAATGACAGGAAGGCCGTTTACCTTTAAGATGAACCATCAAGAGCAAAGGGTCAAGCAGACATGAAATATTCTTGAAAATCTTGGAAATGACCTTTGGGTGCCAGGATGGGTCTCAGTCTCTACTTACAAAGGTCAGAACCGTGCCAGGCCTGGTTTTCACTGTGAGCCTCTATGGAGGTTGGAGAAACAGAAAGGGAGCTTGGAGATCTTCTAGTCCAACCCCCCTGCTCAGGCAGGACACCCTATATGATTTCAGACAAACGGCTGTCCAGTTTTTTCTTTAAAACCTCCACTGATGGAGCACCCACAACTTCTGGTGGCAAGCAGTTCCACTGGTTAATTGTTCTCACTGTCAGGAAGTTTCTCCTTAGTTCCAGGTTGCTTCTCTCCTTGATTCATTTCCATCCATTGCTTCTTCTTGTCCTGCCTTCTGGGGCTTTGGAGAAGAGGTTGAACCCCCCCCCCCTTCTTTGTGTCAGCCCCTCAAATACTGGGAAACTGCTATCGTGTTCCCCCTAATCCTTCTTTTCATCAGACTAGGTTTAGATGATGAGCAATGACACGTTTGAAT